CCGTTACTTCTTAAAGTTTTAGGGAACCTTAAAATTAAAAGAAGAAACATTTTTTTGTAGCTATTGAAAAAGTATCTAGGGTGAGTCATTTACTATAAAGCAGCACAAAATAGAGGCTTTAGAGCTTTTCTAACTGCTTCACCAGATGGTGAACACAAGGGCAGTTGGTCAGATTCTTGTACATTTGGGGCAAAAAAAGAATTAGGGTTTCTGGAGAAAGAGTCTTTTCTGACACTCAGAAGATGTCACCTGTGCTCTAGAAAGAGAGGTTACCGAGTCAGTGGGTGTGCTTGGCATATGGTGAGTTGGAAATTGGAATCCTTACCCTGTGATCTGCTGCCAGGTGCTGGGGCCTTCACCTGGCCCCATGGAGCCCTGACTTCTTACCTGTAACTCAGAGACAGCACAGAGCTGAGTGGTGGGTGAATGAGGAGTTGAAGTAGCCACCAGCTGGCCCAGGTGGGACCCTGCAGGCTGTGCAGAAGCTGAAGTCATGGCTCCATAGAGTGCCTTGTGGTCTTTCTCTAAGAACACATGATGTCAAGATGAAAACTAGTAAAGGTGCTTTTACTGAGAGAGACCATGACAGTAAGGTGCTCTTTTTTATTCTGCTGTTCATTTATTCAGTCAACAGATGTACAAAAACAGGCCCAGCCCATGGATAATCAGATACTAGATTTCATTGTGACCAGAGTCACAAAGAAGTATGAAACTAAACCAGGAGGGTATGGGGAAGTGTGAGAAAAATACAGGCAGAAGACATTAGTCTTCACTGAGCCTCTGCCAGGTGCCACCACTGCATGGCCAGCTTTCAAAAAGCCTTGCCAGAAGCCTGGGGACCTCCCCTGGGAGGTAGTCACATACCACCTGTCCTTTCTAACTCCTCCGTACTCATTGTAGTATTTCTAATGTTGTGTGGAGATGGATGGTGGGTCAGTGGGTCTTAACTTGTGAAGGAAAATGTGTTCAAGATTTTCAGGACACGAGCCGTGGATAGAGCTCAGCAGCACAAGTGCCTGCCTGGCAAGCACAAAGTCCTGAGTTTGATTCCTGGTACAAAAAAAAAGATTCACACGACAAATTTTTTTCTTTTTATAGACCTCAGGGGTGGCCTTGGCCACCACCCCTCAAAAAGAGAATGATGGTTGGAGTTTCAGGCTGAACCACAAAAGCTCATTAAAACCCCATTGGTGATAAAGTTGTTTCAGTTTACAGAGAAGTAGTGAACACTATCCTTAGTCCTGGGCAGCTGAGGTATGTTTTATAGTTTATTCTAAATTCTTTGTGTGACATGTGCTCTTCTTATGCATACTGTATGGCTCAGTAAAATAAGGTCAAAATATTTTTAGAAGATTACTCATTAAACTAAGAGAGCTGTATGAGTAATTGTAGTAGCTCTCATTCCCTGGCCCCATTTGGGGAAGCTGTTGGCACATGGCACCATGGCTGATGGGGGCTGAGGTTCAGGCTCCTTTTTCACTGGGGTGTCTGCCTGCCACTCCCCTAGCATCTTCATGTGTCCTGGGAATGACCACTGCCCTGTTTGAGTTGTCTCCTGGGGCTCCTCTTTTGGTGTTCCCCAAAACTAGGCTGTAACACATTGGAGATCCCCAGAGGGTTTTACCCTGCAGAACAGAAGTGAAGACTTCCAGGAACCCTGACCTACTTGAAAAGATGGGACTCTTCCTGAGAACAATCTGGGTTTCCCCACAGGCCCCTCCTGTCATCCTGAGCCAGAGGTACTGGCCTAGAGAAATGGAAGCAGAGTCCTTTCTTACGGTAAACAGATGTGTGCCTTGCCCCCAACTCCTGCAAGAGAAGGGCAAAGTCATTTCTGTGGCTGGAACCCATGAGATCCGGAGGGTCTGTCACTGGGCAGAGGGGACCAGGGCTCAGGTTGTTGGCCAGCATTTCCTGTAATCTGTTCCCTGTCACTCATGAACTCTGGGCCATTTATCGCCCCCATTTAAACACTTTGGTGGCACCAGCTGGCTCCTGAGGACAGGTATCCTTAGTTCCAAAGCAGACCAGTAATGTAATTTCAACTAAGAATTGAGTGCAGTGCACTTTCTACTTGTGGACCAGCATCAAGGGTAGACTTCCATAAGGGGGCGATGAAGTTGGGCCTGTCCCCTCCTTATTTTTTTCTTTCCTTGAGATAGGGTCTTGCTACGTAGTCCAGGCTGACCTCGAATGTGCAGTGATCCTCCTTCCTTAGCCTCCCGAGGACTGGGATTACAGGCATGCGCCACCATGCCTAGGCTGTGTGCCCTCCTCTTAATCCAAGGTCTGGGAGTTGAGACCTCCGAACAGCAGGGTCTCCTTTCCTTCCCCATCTAGTTGCATTTTACTTTGTGTCCTACACTCCTGGGGCTCTTATGGGCTCATTTTAGGTTGTTTGCCACTGTTCAGAGGTCAAAACTAGGGCAGCGTGGCTTCTTAACTACAGTCACAGTTCCATCTAAGCATTACTTGGCCAAGATGCTTGAGTTGGACGCAGGCGTGAATGTTTCTGCTTCTTGGCATAGGTTGCATAGGAATAGTTCTTTTAGGGCACGAGCTGGATTTGATCTTATGTTCTTTGTTCACACCAGGCTCAGCAGTCACCCAGGGTCACACTGCAGTTCTGTAAATGGCATTATAATTGCTGTGTGCTCTTTAGCTGACAGCAAATGTTTCAGCTCCATTCACAGTGCATGACCACCTCTCCATAAAGGCTGCTGTGATTGTATTTGACTCAGTTCTTTTGATTTTGGTGGCTGTAAGATTTGCTTGTCAGTTGTTAACAAGATGTTCTGAGTCTTGCAGGAAAGCGGTATTTGGTGGCACCTGCTCTCTTGTCTGTGCTCCCATGAGTTGTTGTCACCCATTCTGTCTTGGACCTGCAGTGAGCCTGGGTGCCAGTCCTGCTGAGTCCCTGCCTGGCCAGGGGACCCTGAGAAGTCACTCAAACCCAAAGCCTCCATTTAACCCTTTTTCAGGGTCTACCAGGTATGTGAAAGAGTTGGTATGGCCCTGGTGTAGCACAGAAGTACTCAATAACTGAGACATTTCTGTCACTTTCTTTGGCCTCTGTAGTTGCTGGCAGATGCCTGATATGATGAAAAGAGTTCTGGAAGGAAAGCAAGGACACATGGCTTGAAATAATGATGCTTACTTTGATGTCCTGGAAAGAGTTTTGTAGTGACTGCCTTTCCTTGGGTGGCAGATCTGGGAGCTGGGCCTGCTTCCGGGAGATCTTTTTGTGTCTTCCTCAAGCCTTGCCCCAGGCATTGGGTACAAGCTCCAGCTGCAGGAGGACGAATGTGTTGCCACATCCCCTGGCGTGAGTGTTTGTCGACAGAGCCCTGAGATTGTTTACTGAATGACTCTGAGTGGTTTAGACTTTCATAAGTAACATTTAAGTCACCAGGGAGTGAACAGTCATTGCTGATCTATTCTTTAAAGGTCATATAACTCATACTAAGGTGTGGGGAAGAGACCTTGCCTGCAGGTGGGGCCATGGCAGGAAGCCTGTGTCCTTTGGGGACATCTGGCCAGTTCCTCTCTCTGTTCCCTTTCTCTTTCCCCTCCTCCAGGGGCTTCAGACCAGTCTCGTTGGCCTTTTGTCCCCAGCATCCATCCACATAGAGGTGGTGACTCAGAGCAGGTTAGGAGGGAAGGGGTGAGTTATTCTCTCCTCCATCAGTTTCCAGAGTGACTTCTGGCTTCATGCTCTATGATTAATCATGTGTCATCTGTGGTCAGGGACATGGTCTCGCCTGGTGCTGGTATACGGTGGCAACAGCTTTTGCAGTCATGCTCATTATGCAGCGGGTGTTCAGTACAGACCTGGCTCTGTGGTGTTGCAGGGAGTTGTCATCCACCCAAAGTGTGGAGATCAATGTGTCCAGCTTAATATGTTGAGCAGTTTTCTTAAAAGTTCAGTTTATTAGGCTGTAGAAAACAGCAGAAATGAAAGCTTTGGATAGTCATATTCTGCTTGCGTGTCTCGTATGCTTACTGCACAGGACTCCGGTGCTTGCCAAAGGATGCTTGCTTTTCCTCTCAGGTCCCAGTAGAGACTCTGCCCTGGTACATGACTGTAGTTCCCCTGGCCTCAAGCTGGCAGCCTGTGGGCATGTGTTGGCTTTGCATCCACATGCTGCGGACACTGCATTGAGGTCGCATGTCAGTCAGCCTTGTCAGGTTGCCTGATTTCTCATTCCTGGCCCCAGCCCTGGGTGATGAGCAGATGCAGAAGCCTGGTTGTCATGGCAGCTGGTAAATTGTGAGCTAAGCACACATCGGCGCAGCCATGGAGACAGCAGAGTTCCTGCTGGGTCTGCAGGGTACAAGCCTGTAGTCAGAGCTGTTCACACCTGGGGACTCAGCAGGTGACATGGGCCCCAGGTGCTGCTGGTGGGAGAATAGCAGGCTTTGCCTATCCCTCAACAACTGCAACGAGGGCAGGTTTAAATGACATTCTCAGAGCTGAGACACCATCTTCAGTGGTTAAGCCTGAGGCCATCGTGTTCCTGAGAGCAAGTAGTTCTCAAATATGTGGTTTGTGACCCCACTGTCATCCTGCTAATGCTTGTGAGGGTCCCTTTTCCCAAATAATGGTTTTAAGGAGCAAAACAAAATACATAGGGTGACAGTTGATGCAGTTATATTGAACTATGGTTATCAAAATGCCAAATCAAATGTGTGGCAGGTTAGTAAATGAGTTCTTCATCACAGTGAATTACAAGACTACCCTGTGATACGAAGTATTCTTTTTTTTTTTTTATTTTAAAGATAAAAGGGGGGAAACATTAACAGACATACAACATTTTACAACATATCACAAGCACAGTACAGACAATACAGAGTTACAAACAAAGTGGTAGGGAATTAACAATGGTTGTTGTATTACATACTGATATCTTCAAAGTGGCTTCTCATGAAAACAGATATAGACATGCAATACTGGTCAACCGAAGACTCACTGACAGTTTCTTTCAGCATAGAAATAGAAGACAGAAGAACAACCATGTTAACCATCCTGTATATACATAGATACGAAGTATTCTTTGCAGCATTGGTAAAGACCGTTGTGTGACGTGGGACAGTCATGCCTTCTGTTGGGGTCCCAGGTACTGCTTGCTGGGCTTGTGGTGCCTTGTGCACCTTCCAAGTGGAAGGAAGTCCACCTGGAAAATCTTTTCCACCCTCATAGATCCAGTCTTGGGTGCAGGTAGAGAGGTAGAGATGGCCAGTTGGCTCCTCACCACTGAGGCACTCTGGTCAGGACTGGTGCTAGGGTAGAGAAGCCCAAGCACCTTTTCTAGTGATGGTCTCTTGGTGCCAGTGACTGCCGGCTAAATTTTGTATGTAGTGTTTGTCACTAGGGAGAGATAGCTCAAGAATCCACTTGTTTCTCAGAGGAGCACAGGACATGAAAAAAAGAAAGAAAAACTCTGAATCCCAGTGTGGATTAGAAGTGCAAGAGGTTGTAGGCTGGTGTGAGGTGGGCTGGAGGGAGCAAGGCTGAGAAGCAGGAAGCGGCATCTCCTTCCTGCTGGCCTAGCTTGTGCCCCATTGCAATCTACATGCCAGGAGCACCTGTGGTATGTGCAGGGCTGTGTGCCTTTCTGAGCTGGCTTGGTGCCAGGGGCAGGGCCAGACTCAGATCAACTAGTCAGTGAGGCAATTAGCCTGGAGGTTGGGAAGCTTCAGGCCAGAGGCCGGAGGCCGGAGGCTGGCCAGGAGGGCAGAGGTATGTCTGGAGGTTTGTTTGCAACAGTGTGTGGAAGGGTGGGACAAGTGGCTCAGCATGTGGGAAGGGTGGGAGGGCATCCTCTGAACACTCTGGTGCAGGTCCTGGCTCTTCTTTTGGGGTTTAGATGCAGATGCTGGTACAAGGGGCCTCCCACACAGGGCTTTGGCACAGCATGAACATTTGGAAGGCCTTCTTATAGCATTAACAGGAGACTCTGTGAGTAATGCAGTCAGTAAAAGAGAGTTTTGCTTAACATTTTATTCACATAATGTAGCGTTAAAGAAAAGAAGGAGGGCATAAAAATGCCTCATTCCAGCCAGCACTTATACACATAATTATATATGTGTGTCTAGAAGGGGACAGGTTTTACAGGGTTCACCTCAGAATGGCACTTTGGGTAGTTTTTATTTCCTTTGTATTTTTTCTCTAGTTCCTGTGATAAGTTTCATCAGGGATGAAGAAACTATTACACATGACAGTAGTCTGTCATGTCTCCACCACAGGTGAGAAACGACCTTTTGCTGAGTGCTTTCTGAGTTGGGAGCAGCAGCACAGCGTGGCCCAGCTACCTTGCTGAGAGGGATTTGGAGCCAGCCCTGAGCTGCTTCCTGCAGCAGGCCATTATAGTATAGTAGGGTCTATTACAGTAAGCAGGCCCCACCCACTTCTTGAGTGCACACTGGGACCCTGGTGATGTAGGGTGGGTAGGAGGGTGGGAAGTCGGGGCTGGAGGTCCACCCTGCACTGCGTCCTGCTCCAATGGGGAGTGAGTTGCCACAGGAAGCAGTTGTTCTGCACTCACCTCTGTGCTGGTCCATGCAGCAAGCAGTCTCACATGTCTAGCCTGGGCCACCCAGTTCCCAGTGGGGAGAGAGTTGGTATGGGTTTAATTTGTGCCTGCATGCACCTGGCCATTCATTTCTGTTAGTGTCAGGGTGTCTTTTCCAAAGTGGGGCCTGAGTAATTCGTTGTGCTTAAACCAGAAAGTTCTCCAGGGTAGGCCCAGCCTTGGCCTTGCTGCAACCTACCTGTGCAAACTAAAGGGATGTGGGGACACATGCTGGTTTGTCTGCTCCCCTGGTGCTGGTCAGCTGTGAGGTGGGCAAATGTGGCCCTTGTAGTGCCAGTGGCTGGCTGTGCTGGGGGACCTGGGGAATCCAAAAGTGGCCCAGCCATATGTCCACATGAAGTATGCCCTTGAAACCTGGCAGCTGCATGGGTCCTAATGCCCCGACAGCATTCATGTCTGTCCTCAGTCATCCTAACCTGAACTGATATGAGTCCCCACTCCTAGATAGCATTTTCTGCAGGGTCATTGCTGGGAGGGCTGTCCCTCCCACTCTACCCTGGTCTGTGACTACCTGAGACCCTAAGAAACTTTCTCTGCCCTTGTCCCATACCTGGGAGGGTGAGCTGGGAATGAGAGACCCCCATGGCCAGGGTGTTGCCCCTTGGGTGCAGATGTCACACTCTGCTCTGTGACCCTCCTCTGAGAAACTGGTGACATCACAGGACCCTCTGGGATTTCCTGTCTTGGGGTGACTCACTCTCAGGGCACCTCACTTGGCATTTGCTACAAACACTGAAACTTTCAGTTGCCTCAACCCTTTTACTCATACAGGAAGTCAATTACTCATTTTCTGCATTTCCCTTTCACTGGTTGAATGTGACTCTAAAAGTGGAATCTTACAACACATGTGCTGAGTGATTAGCAAGTAAGCAAACATTGAAAACCTACTTGGCCCTGACACTGTGCCGGATGGTCGGCCTTGGGGCTCCCCCTGCTTGGAGGCTCACTAATGAGGACTCCTCAACCAAGGGATCTGTTGTTAAAAGGCCAAGGGGTGACAGTGCCTCTCCTTCAGGCCCCTGAGGTCTGTTCCAGCTTAGGATCCAGGGAATCCTGAATGAGAAAGAAGGATTTGTTTTCCTGTTCTCAAGCAGTTCTAGAAACAAAACAGAAACAACCAGAAATCACTTGAAACAAGTATAGCCTGGACATGTTGGCACACACTACTTGAAGGCTGAGGCCCGAGCATCACAAGTTTGAGTCTAGCCAGACAACTTAGTAATACCTTGTCTCAAAATTTAAAAAAATATAAAAAGGAGCTGAGGATGTAGAGTGGTAGAGTCCCCCTGGGTTTTATCTTAAGTACTGGGAGGAAAAAACACCAGCTAGGTGATGAGTTGCCAGCTGAGAAGAGTGTCTGTGTACTGGCTGTGGTTGGGGAGGAAGTGGGGTATCTGAGTGTCTTAAAAGATGGAGAAGTTGGGATGTCTGCCAAGCTGGGCAGTCTGGCCATAGCTTGGAATCCAGTGGCGTCTTAGTCGGAGAGTGGGAACCCAAGCCCAGTGGAACAGGCAGCACCTCAGTAGTGTCTCTTTGGCAAAGCCTACCCAGATGTTGTCTTTCCCTGGCATATTTCCTCAGCTCTCATTTGTTCAACAGAGTGAATGCACTTCTACCTGCAATAAGATGAACTCTTCAGACCATATACGTCAGATGTGACACATACGTGTGTACCTGCACTTCTCTGCAGTGGATGAGTATGTAATGAGTATGTCATGCATCTCTCCTGCTGGTCTGTTTCCTTTGTGACATGGTATTTTCCTGTCAAGGCCACTACACCTGTGCAAAGGGCTCTTCTCTACTGGAACCCTCAACCTTTCACGGGGATTCCGTGCTTTGTGTCCTTTTGCAGTGACTTCTCTCCCTAAGAGTTTGGCTTAGATCTTCTCCCTTGTTTTGGCAGCTTACACCTGGGACTCCCTGAGAAGGATAAAAATAGGTCTGAGGTCTCCCAGGGCCTGCAGAGTTTCAGTCATTCAGCCCGAGCTCCCTTCCCTATGGGAAGGGAGGAGGGGCCCAGTCTTTGTGCTTGGAAAACTTCAGTGCCTTTACTGTGTGATTTTCTAATCCCTATCCCTTCTGGTGAAGGGTCATTCAGCATTTTCATTATTCCTGGAAACAAGGAAGAAACACCCTGTGCACCTGCATATTTCATGAACATATTACCTCACATTTTCCATTGCTTTTGTTAATTCAGGTTAGTAACCAAAGCTAGTGACAGTTTCTTGATTCCCACAGCAAATGTTCTAGAAGAAGGGCTTGGGGTGAAGTGGGGCTTTTCTGGAGAAATAAGGTCAACCTGAGCAATGAACCCATGCTGAGTCTGTGCTTCTAATCAGGTTCAAGTAACACAGAGGCCCTTCCACTGTTGCTGATGGGCCATGAGGAGTCTGGGCTAGAGCTGGTGGCTCAGCTCTGTGTTCCAGCACAAGGTCTCCCTCTGTCACAGCCTTGGACCCTTCACTTTCAGTGGGGACCCAGTTGCTCTGTGTTGGTGGGGCTTGGAACTGAAAGTGCCTAATCCAACATGGTAGTGCTCTTCCTCATGGAAAATGCCCTTCCTGAAATGCTAGGTATTTCTTTTTTTTTTTTTGTACCAGGAATCAAACTCACAACCTTGCGCTTGCCAGGCAGGTGCTTGGGCCACTGAGCTATATCCTCGCCCTCTTTCCTGAAATGAACTATGGCTTTGTGGTGCCTGGGTATTTCTTAGGATATAATCTGAGGTCATTTCTACTTCTTTCCCTTTTCTTTCTTTGTTTTGAGACAAAGTCACTCTGTGTGGTTTAGACTGGCCTTGAATTTGCTAAGTTGCCCTGGTTGGGTGTGAATTTTTGATCCTTACACAGGAGCTTCAAATATTGGGATTACAAGCATGTCCCACCACCCCCAACACGTTGATTCTCCATGAGCTTTGTGTGCTGGGAAGATGGAGACTGCCAGGGCCAGGCATGTGTGTCTATTGCTGTGCTCTTTGTTTAGTCTGCCTTGGTCCTCAAGGAGGGATGCATTGACCAGTCAATCTGGACAGTGACGTCTACCTCTTCCATTGTCGGGGCCTGGTTGAAAAGGATCTTGTGTGGCCTGCTGAGCAAACAGTGTAAACTTGGCTGCCAGATAATTGGCTGGCAGAAGAGATGCAGGCTGCTTGAACAGTTTGTCTGTGCACCCTCAGTCCTTGGCATAGCCCCTGCATGGATAGGGATGGTATACATGATGCAAGCTGTTGGTGGGACAGGGTTTAAAAATTTGTAAATAGCCCAGGCATGGTGGTACACGCCTGTAATCCCAGCACTTGTGAGGCTGAGGCAGGAGGATCATCACAAGTTCCAGGCCAGCCTGGGCTACGTAGAGAGTTCAAAGCCAGCCTGACTCTCATAGTGAGACCCTGTCTCAAAAATCAAACAAACAAATCTGTAAATATGTCTCCTGCCAAGTCCTGCTAACGTGGTGGAGAGGCCTGAAGGCCTCCAGGCAGTGTGGCTCCATGGTGTTTATAACCTTTGAAGCCTGAGTTTTCCCATAGAAACAAACAAAAAGTCAAAGAATGCTGTTTTTCTCTCAGTCAGAAATATAGTAAGAACAGCTCATTCATACTATTTTTAGTAGAAGAGTTGTTTCCAGTGAATATCAATAAGTATGTCAGATTTTTTTTTTTAAATGATACTAGGGATTGAACCCAGGGCCTTCACACTCAGCAACATCCCCTACCCTTTTTTTTGTTATCTTAGTGAGACAGGGTCTCACTAAGTTGCCTGGTAGGGCCTCAGCCTTCTAGAATGCTGGGATTATAGGCATGTACCACCGTGCCTATGTGCAATTTTTTTAGAAATTAGTTTTTGAAAAAAAGGCATTTCATCGAAAATTGAAAGTAGTCAGTTATTGAGCAAGCAATGTTTTAAGTCCACAGTTCAAATTCTATTCCTGTTGAGTTCCTATAAATTTGAGTTGGTGTGAGTAACGTTTCTTTCCAGTGCTTAGCACAAAACATTTCCTGAGTGAATGGACAGTTGACATAGCAGAGAACGAAGATACCATCTTAAGGATTTTGACTTCTCATCACAGACCCCTTGGCATCGTCCCCCTTGCTGTGCCCACACTGCCCATCTCTCTATTCCTTATGAGGATGACAGAAGGTACCTGGAGGTGATGGCCTGGGGGTCACTCTAAGAGCCTCTGAGGTCAGCCCATGGGTTAGCTTTGAGAAGGGTTTTCTGAGGGAATGAGGTTTCCTCCATTGCAGAGAAGCTGGTGTTGAGCTGTGGCTTCCAAGACCCTAGAGTGCCTAGGTATTTGAGTGCCCGTCACACTCCCAGGGTGGGGGCCAGGTGTGGCAGGGTCTGTGTGAACATTGATGTCAGGGATTCTTGACTTGGGACATTGTACGCATCTTTCTTCATGACTTTGGTCATTGGGGACATTTTGTGGGTGACTTTGGGTCGGAACTTGTCTGAACTTCTGCTTCTTCAGATATTGATAAAGAGTTTATCAAAGTTCCCTAGGCCCTAACTGTGCCCTCTTAAGACCTTGAGAGACACAGCAGATAAAATGACAGCACAGTGTAGCAGAGTTGCGCGGGGAATGGGATAGAGTGGCGGAGCTGGGTGGGAGACAGGGAGTGCAGTCCTGCTGGCTGCTGATGCCTGAGATAGGCCTAAAAGGGGACATTGCCTCTGTTCAGCCCTGCTGGGGACTCCTTGGGGCATGGAATGGCAACCAGATTGTGAGGACTGGGGAGTGCCTGAGTGTGTGGGATGTGTTCCAGGGAGCCATGGAGATGTGTGAAGCAGCAAATGATACTCTGGCTGTAGGCCAGTGGATAGAGGGTGTAGGAAAATGGAGACTCCCACCCAAGCCTGCTTCAAAGCTCTGTGATGGGCTCTGCAAGATAAGTGGGGCCCTGTGCTAAGCCAGGCGAGAGTCGAAGAGGGAACAGTGTCGTGAGGAATATGAATGCAGCAAGGCGGTCAGAGACAGAGGTCCCCACACTGTCTTTACAAATAGAGGTTGGAGCTTGGGACAGAAATGCAACTGGGTACAGAGTTCAAACTTGCCTTGAGCCTCTGGTGAGAAACTTGGAGAGTTGAGCTGAGGACTGACCTGTGCAGTATTCCAAGGATCAGAGCAGAGTGAGGAGAGGACGCAGGAGGGGTTTGGGAAAGAAGGCTATGGCATAGTGTCCCATGCCACCAAGCCTCCAGAGATTCAGACAGAGGAAGATTCTCCAGATTACCCAGGGGCACACTGCAGAGGTCCCTTGAGCCTGGCAGTCAGGAGTCTCTGTGTTGGGGTGAATATGCATAGGAGTGGGGTGCAGCCTCAGTCTGTCGTGCTGGGTGTGCACCTCAGTGTTCTGTGAACCTATGTGAACAAAAGGGGAGGGAGAGCCTGAGAGAAGATGAGCGTGGAAGACCGGAGGAGTGGGAGGCCTGGTCCGAGGGGAGTGGGAAGAAGTCCACCCGTTGTCACTATAATAGGCACTATCCCTGTTGTTTTCCAGTGCTTGCGCCTCCTGCGCCACCACCACCCCCTATCCAAGGGTATGCCTTCAAGCCTCCACCACGGCCGGACTTTGGGACCTCTGGGAGAACAATCAAACTACAGGCCAACTTTTTTGAAATGGACATCCCCAAAATTGACATCTACCACTATGAATTGGATATCAAGCCTGAGAAGTGCCCAAGGAGGGTTAACAGGTAAAGTGGTCTTCTGTGTTGATCCCAACAGGTTAGGGTTGGTGGACTGCAGAGTGCATTGTTCTGACTTTTTCCGTAAACTTTCCGTGCATTTTTGAAAAGTTTTTGTATTGAGATATAATTTCAGCACGGTGAAACACACATCACAGATGTACAGTTTGATGGGTTTTTTGTGTTTGTGTGTTGAGACAGGGTCTCAGTATGTAGTGCAGGCTGGCCTTGAACTCGCTGATGTAGCCTCAGCCCCCCGAGAGCTGGGATTTCAGGTGTGCGCCATAACACCGGCAGTTCAATGAGTTTTGGTGTGTGTACCCATCACTTTCTCCACCGGTCTCCCTGTCCTAAAGTCACTCTGGATTCTGATTTCTATTATCATAGGTTATTTTCCTTTTGATAGAAATGATTTACCTGTATCACTCTTTGTATTGCAGTTTATTTATTTATTTATTTTTCTTTCGGAGATGAGGTCTCACTATGTAGTTTAGGCTAGGCTCAAACTTGCTGCAATCGTCCTGCCTCAGCCTCACGAGTGCTGGAATTACAGGTGTGCACCACCACGCTCCAGTAACAGCACATTATTATTTTACAAAGGAATATTTCATTGTATGTTTCATAATTCACCTTTTCATATCCCTTTTAGAACCTTAGGGATCTGGACTTTGTCCATTTGAAGAAAGTTGCTGTGGATATTCTTGTTCATGCACGTTTTGGACACCTGTTTGCACTCCTCTTAGTTACATGCCTGGGGGTAGAACTACCAGGTTTGGGTTAGGCAGCTTCCACTGGCATGAATCTGTACAGGAATTTGCCAAAGTTTGTGTATCATTTTTACTTCTGTCAACGGTCTTGAGAGTTCTGTTTGCTCCACATCCCTGTCAGCATTTGATAGGGTCTCCTGTTTTGATGTTGGCTGCTTTGGTGGGTATATAATTGTCTCCTGTGGTGTTTTTAATTTCTATTTCTCTGATTGATAAACTGGTCACCTTTTCATGATTACATTCATCATGGGGAATATGTACATCTGCATAGCACATCTTGTTTTTGTTTTGTCCCCTTTCCCTCCTTCCCCTCCTCTTGCTCCAGCTATTCTTCTCCTCCACGTTTACGAAAGCTCTATTTTAATTTTATTTTCCAGGAGCAGAGGGAGTGACTGCTAACAAGTATGGATCTAGTCTTTTGGGAACGATTAAAAATGCTTAACTTAGATTGTGATGATTCTGGTGATGGTTGCAAGACTGAATATACTAAATTATTGAATTATACACTCTTCTTTTTTTTTTTTTTTGAGCTAGGGCCTCACTATGCAGTTCAGGCTGGCCTTGAGCTCACTTTTTAGCCCAGGCTGGTCTCGAACTCGCAATGATCCTCCTGCCTCAGCCTCCCAAGTGCTGGGATTACAGGTGTGCACCACCACGGCCACGTGAATTATACACCTTTAATCAGTGAATTTTATGCTTACATCATCAGTTTTAAATCTTCTTTTGTAACACATTTAAAGCAGTACGTTTCCTTCTAAGCCTGGTCTCAGCTGTAAACCACAAATTTCAATATACTGCGTAGTATCTTAGCTTTTAGTTAAATGTTTATTCATCTTCCTCATGCTTTAACCTATAGGTTTGTAGAAATGTTCTATTCCATTTCTGTGTGGGGATTTTTAAAATTAACCAGTTCTCATTGACATCTAATTTAATTCTTTATGGTCAGAGTTTATATTCATAAGATTTCAGTCATTTGAAACAGTGGAGCTTGAGTTATAGTTTAGCATGTGATTTATCTTGGTAAACATCACATGTGCACAGGAGAAGATTGTCTGTTCCAGAGTTGTTCAGCCTGGAGGTCTATGACTATTAGGGTAGTTGGTGGAAATGAATCGAATTCTTCACAGATTTAAAAAAAATTTTTTGTTCCACATGGTGGCGCATGCCTGTAATCACAGCACTTGGGAGACTGAGGCAGGAGAATCATCATAAGTTCAAGAGCACCTTGTGCCACATAGTGAGTTCAAGATCAGACTGGACTACATATTGAGATCCTGCCTCAAAAAAACCTAAGTAAATAAATTAATTAATTTTAAAAAATAAAAAAATTTTGCACCAAATATAATGTGGATTTGTTTATCTCTCTATTGAGTATTTGCTGTTTTGCATTTTGTTTGTTTTTTTGGTTTTTTGGTGCATACTTTAAAAATTTTTTTTTAAAAATGTTTTTTTAGTGCACATTTGCAGTATATAACAATTACATTCGTATTGCATTCATTGTGAGGAGTTGGTACATGTATACAACACATCTTAATTCTTTTTATGCCCCCTTCTCTTCCCACTCCTCCCTCATGGTTTTTTTTTTGGGGGGGTGGTTTTCCGGTACTGGGAATCGAACTCACAACCTTGCACTTCCCAGGCAGGCACTATGCCGCTGAGCTAAATCCCCAGCCCCTCCTTCATGTTTTATGTATTGTGAAGATTTGTTAACATCTGTGATTCTTGTATCTTAATGACAAATTAACCCTTCATTATTAGGAAATGTTCCTCATTTTGTGTTGTTTTTTGAGACAAGGTCTTGCTATGTAGTTCAGGCTGCCTTGACCTCAGTACATAGCCCATGCTGGCCCCAAACTCGCAGGAATCTTCATGTCTCAGCCTTCCAAGTGCTGAGATTACAGGTGTGCACCACCATGCCTGACGATAATTCTTATTTAAAAGAGGTTTTCTTTGATTATTAATGTAGCCTCCTGAGCATTCTTATCCTTTTTGTTTTATATATCTTTTCCCAAAGAAAGATGATTAGACTTTTAACCCACATGTATATATCTGTACTCTGGTGCATCTTGTAAAGACATAGTGTAATGGAGTCTTGCTTTTTTCCCCCAATTTCTGCATTTTCAGTGGAGTTCATGTAAATTTAATATACATAATTATCAGTGGTTCCATGTAAGGCTTGTATCTTGCTATTTTAAAATTTTTGTATTTCTTGGAGGGATGCTGGGGATTGCACTCCGTCTAAGTATGCTAAGCTGGTGCTCCACCAGTGAGCTATACTTCTATCCCTCTGTACCTATTTTCTTGTTACTCTTTTTTTCTTTTGGAGTCATCATTTTTTTCTGAACTGAAATTTATATTCCCACACAGTTCAGGAGCTGAAGTCCAAGATCAAGGTGTCCCCAGTTGGTTCTTAGGGATACTTTTCTCCTTGGCTTGCAGACCCTTTGTGGCCCTTTTTCTGTGGACCCTCATCCCTGGCATCTGGAAAATGGTTTTTAGTATGCTGTTTCCTGTGTTGACTTTTAACATTCCCTCTTTTTGCTTTAGATGTCAGTTTTTTAAAAAACTTAGCATAGTCTACTTGACTTTAATGTTATAAAATATAAGAATAAAGTGATACCATAGTTCCATTCCCCTTGTCCTCCTTACACTCATTATATATTTTACTTATACCTATGTTATAGCCTCCATAGTACAATGCTGTTATTGCTAAACAATTAAGAAAAGAAAATTATTATATTTATACACACATTAACCGTGTCAAGTGGTCATCATTTCTTCCTGTTGGCCAGTGTATTTCATCTGGCAGCATTTCCCTGTAGCATGGCCTTTCTTTTTGTGTAAATCTGCCAGTGATCAGTTCTGCCATGATTTTTTTTAAAGTGCTCAGATGTGTTTATTTCATCCTTATTTTTAAAAGCAATTTTTCACTTGCTACAGGTTTATTTTTCCTCATAGTGTTCAGCCAGGGCCTTGTGTGTGCTAGGCAAGTGCTATACCACTAAGCTGTATCACTAGCTCTGGGTACAAAATTCTGATTGGCACTTTTTTCCCAGCACCTTATTAATGTCATTATATTATTTTAAACTCTGAGCCTTGCACATGCTAGACAAGTGCTCTTCCTCCAAGCTACTGCCCTAGCCCTTGTTGCATTCTTTTAACTGCCATGGTTTTTGACAAAATGTCAGTCGAAATTCTTAGAGTAGTTTCCCTGTATGTAAATTTGTGGAGATTTTGTTTTTGGTGGTCCTGGGGATTGAACCCAGGGCTATTGCATTGAACCAGATCCCCAGCCCTTTTTATATTTTATTTTGAGACAGCCTCACTGAATTGCTCTTGGATTTGTAATCCTTCTATCTCAGTCTCCCAGGCTACTGAGATTGCAAGCCTGTACTTACATTTTTTTTTTCTTTTTTTTTAATTTTGCTTTGGGCTGCGTGGGGTGTGTGGCCCAGTGGTACAGCACAAGGCCCTGGGTTTAATTTCTGGTACCAATAGAGAAAAGTGGGGAGGGGGATAAAATGTTGCTTTCTTGCTGCCCAAGTGTAGCTTTCTTTATATTTTTTCTTCTTGGGGTTTGTTGTCTCTTACATCTATATGTTGTTGTTTTTTTGCTTTTGTCTTTTTGAGACAGTGTCTTGCTCTACAGTTCAGGTTGGCCTTGAGCTCCCTTTGTAGCACAGGCTGGTCTTGAGCTTGCAGTGATCCTCCTGCCTCAGCCTCCCGAGTGTTGGGGTTATATGTTGTTGTTGTTGTCCATGAAACATTCTTTAAAAATGAGACAAGAAGGAAAAAAATGGAAATGAAGCTTTTGTAAATGGAGAGAGGAGGGAGAATTGAAGGGAGGGTACAGGAATGGGAAAAAAAATAAAAATACATAATTTGGAAAACAAAAAAAACCAAGAAAAAACCAGAAATATTTCTTCAGATCTTTTCTTTTTCTCCTGCCCCATTTTCTCATCCTTGGAGTTGCCAGTACGTGCATGTTAGACCATTTGATAGTGACTTAAGTCAGTGAGGCTATGATTTAAAAAAAGAAAAAAGAAAAACAAAATCCTCTCCTACTTTTAGTTGGGATAATTTGGTGCTTTGTCTTCAAGATCACTTTGGCCACCTTCTGTAGTATTCATTCTGCTCTTGAGCTGTGCAATTTGTCATTTAGATGTTGTATTTCTGAGTTCTAGATTTTGCATTTGGTTCTGTCTCATAATGTACATTCTGATGATATTCCTCATCCATTCACTAATTATTTCTATCTTTTTCTTGATGACCTTGAATGTGTTTATATCAATAACATTTATTGTAGTAGTGCACATTTGTTGGGTACAGTTTGTGGGTCCCTTGTGTTGATCAACTTTATCTCAGATTACCTGTCATGTCTTCTGGCTTAGTCACACACACGCACTAAATTTTATTTGCTAAATGTTATGCACAGTATGTTGAGGAAAACTACTTGTTGTTTCTTCTGGGGCCCTGTCCTAGAAATTCCTGCCTCTTCTGCAGCTCTGATTTCTGGCTCCTGTCCTTGCTGGACAGACTGCAGCACTCCAGGGTGATGTGGGGCTTAACTTAGGTAGTACATGTCCCTCTTTAACCACCATCCTAGGCTGCCTATTTTTAATGTCAAAAACAGTTGTCTCCTATTTTCTCCTCTTTTATAGATGTTTAGGGTAGGAGGCTTGAGTCTAAAACCAGTTGCCACGTGGGCTGCAAAAGTTGGTGTATTATGGATAAAGGACTCTCGCTTGCAGTGCTTTTTCCTTATCCCAACCTTTGTAAGTGGGGGCAGGGAGTCTGAGGACTCAGTTTCTTTACCTGTAAAACTAAACAGATTCAAAGTGTCCAGAGCACATTGAGCGTTCTGTGAGGTCCTTTAAATTTATGCTCCTTGAAAACTGGGTCTGTGAACAGACATGGTGGGCACAGCTGGTGACATGGTCACTTCCCTGAGGATCTTTCTCCATCTGCCATTCTACCACGGGCTTTGTGACTCCGCATACCTGGGCTTGTGGGTTTGTTGTTTAGTTTCTCTGGATGGAAGTCTGTAGGACTTGTTTGGGTGTGCTTTTGGAACTGGCACTAAGGCAGGAAAAGGCCTGCACAGTTTGGGGGCCTTGGCTGGATACTGTGGCACCTTCTTTTCTAGAAGTAGATGAGGCTCTGTGTCTGGCGCCAGTGGAAGGAAGACTGATATTGGTTAGCATGTGGCCTTTATAGCTGTCACCATCTCTGTTGTCGTTAGACCTGTAAGTTTTGAAATTACCACCTAGAAACTGCCTCAGCTCTCGAGGGCAGCAAGTAGCAGAGGTGGAGCTGCCTGTCTTTGTGATGGCCAGCACCATAGACTGAGACATCCTGAGAGCTGTTGCCTCATTAAATGTGTGAACCTTTACAATTCTTCTTCACTTTACTACTGAGGTGCAATCTCAAAATTATAATTGTTCAAAGCAGTGTAGAAAATGCTGCAAGTAGTGATTTGTACAGCAAAACCCATGTACCAGCACCTCAGCCCCCTCCCTCCCTCCTGCAGCTGACCAGCATCCCCTGGGTGCAGCTTAGTTACTTTTCTCTTGTTGCTGAGACAAAGTACCCAAGCACAAAATTAAGGAAGGAAAGTTTTATTTTCAATCCATAATCAGCTGGGTCCAAGGCAGGATGGCATGGTGAGGGTTATGTTCATGGCAGTGGAAGACAGCAAAGGCCAGGAGAGCAAAAGTGGGTTACGGACAAGCCTCTTTCCCTCCCTTACATTGTAAGCAGGCTACCTTCCCTAGGGTGGGTATAGCACTTATACCATCTCTGGTACAGGCTTAGGATGTTTGCAAAGTGAGGACTCTGGTCCCCTGCTGAGTCATTTAGTTAAACTTCTCAACTTGACACAATGAATCAATCATTACAACATCCTTGAGCTTAAACAGTCCTGCAGGACGTGCCTTCTACACTCTAGGATGTAGAGCTGCTGAGTTACTTAGTTAAGCTTCTAAACTTCTGAAGTTGGTACAATATATCTATCAGTCGTTACAGAGCTATATCACCAGTGTGTATACACCGCTTTTCTTTCCTTTTTTAGGCAGGGTCTCACTAAGTTACCCAGGCTAGGCTTGAATTTGCCTCAACTTCCCATTATAGGAATGTGCCACCATACCCAGCTCCTGATCACAGTTTTTAAAAGAAAGAATGAATTCTCTGGCAAGTGTGTGGGAGTTGGCCATGCTATGAAAGATAGGATCTTTGTTGTAGAACTGGGCAGTTGGGTCACCATTCCAACCTAATGTTTAAGCATCCTATTAGTGTTATGTCTTCCACAACATAATAGCACATTCTCTTCCATGGAAATGGGCCACTGAGGCATGAGGGCAGTGTGTGGGTCTTAGGAGTGCTCTCTTAGCAGCATATGTCCAGGTGTCTGGCAGGGCTATCTGCTAGCCATGTGGCAGAGACAACTTATGGCCCACTGAGGTGATACCTAGCAGTCAAAACTGACCAATCCCTTCACTCATCTAGTCCATGCCTACTCTGCTTGGTGCTCGGGATGAGTTGCCCAGACCCCCTGTCCCAGACCACAAAATGGTGCCTGAGTGGGGTCATGCCCAGAGCTGAATCAGTGTTGACAGATGCTCCATGTGCCATGGGGTGGGTTATATGCTTTCTTTCAACACTGGGTAGCCAAATACCCTACGTAGGTTGATGAAAAGTGTGCCTAGGCTGGATTGGACTAGGAATCAAGTTCCTTCATTTTGGAGCCACAGCAGAAGGGGCAGCGACACCCAGGGCATATTGTAGTGATCCCAGGAACACCACAGGCCAAGCCAGTCTCACACAAGGTCCAGCTGAGCCTAGCCCGTGTGCCAGTGGGGCAGGGAATGTGATAGATATGCATGGGAGGCCTTGCAAAGTCCTGACAGAAAAGCAACTAACTTAACCGTCTATAATATTCCCCCCCTCTGAAGAGGTACCCCTAACTGCCATGAGCGGGGAAGGGACAAAAACCCGGACAAAGACCATTCTGGCTACTTCCGGCTGAAGAGGTCGTTTAATTAGAATTTTGGAATGAAGCTTCCATCACTGGCCCACTTTAGTGCCTCCTGGAGCCTTGGAAGTTGTAGAAGTACCTGTTGTCTGTTGCACGTAGCATGTTAGGAAGTTTTCCAGTGTGAAGACACATAAATACACTGTGTTACACTGTGGTTCTAGGTTGATTTGTTATGGAAGAGTCAAAAGTCACATCACAAAAAGGAAATTCAGGTCTTATAATTTTGCTTAAAACTAGTGTCAGAAAAAATGCCATCCAAGTGTGCTTTGTCCCTGGTTTTACTGACTTTTTTTTTTTTTTTTTTTTTTGCCTGACTTCTATTTTTCTTGCAGGGAAATAGTGGAACATATGGTCCAGCACTTTAAAACACAGATCTTTGGGGATCGGAAGCCAGTGTTTGATGGAAGGAAGAATCTTTACACGGCTATGCCCCTTCCAATTGGTAGAGATAAGGTAAGGCCACAGGTCAGATCAAGCTGAGTAGATTAAGATGAAACTCAGATGGATTGTAAAGTTAATTACTCCTCTTACCACATACTAAGTCCTTTCACCTAGGAGAAAGGGCAGTTTATTGGCTGTGTGGTTTATTTATACTGAGATCCATAAAAACTGCCTTAATGTGGGTTTGCAGTGAGAGCTGGTTCGATGCACATACCTCCAGAGTGTGTGCCACAGCCCACCTCATGAGGCTTGTAGGAGAGTGTGTTTGTTTGTGTGTCTTGCTGGCAGTAAAACAAAGTGAATATTCTGCTCCACCCAGTGATTCATCTGAAATCAGAGTGAGGAAAATTAGTGAACCCAGAGTAGTGCTTATGTTAAAATGTCATCTTTTGTTATTATCTTTATCCTTATCTTGTCTTTATTTAAAGTAATAAAACTTCTACTTAGAAATTCTCATTCTGTGGCACCATCTTTCAATGAATGTGCTTCTCTAGGGTGATGATAAGTAGAAAACCAGTTCAGAAAAAATCCTTCTACATATACAGTATGATCGAACAATGCTGTTTAAACAATGTTTAAATTTTAAAGAATGATTACAGTAAAAGACACATTACCATTAATCCCCTTCAACATATCCCACCATTTGGAACACACTTATTCCATCATTCTTGCCACTTGTAAAGCAGTTCTGGAAGTTTTCTTTTCTTTTTTAAAGAGTAGGAAAATTTAATGGGGAAAAGGATTGAGGAATAGGAATAGCTCCCGAGAGACAGGAGGGATCCCGAATCGATTGCCAACAAGTTCACTTCTCAAAGGAAGTTTTGTGGAGCAAAATCACAAGGTAGGTACAGTGTGGGAGAAAACTATGATTAAACAATAAAATTCCAAGTATAGTCACTTAGATAATATTAATCCAATGGTAGCAAGGGTATATGGGTGACATCATTAACCTTAGTCTTAGTCTTATCTTTAGTTTTAGTCTTAGTAGTCCTAGTGGGTGGGAGAGGATGGCCCACCCCTACTGAGATAAAGGTTAGGGTTAGTTGGTAAATCTCAAAAGAATGGTACCAATAATCTCAGGCTTTCATTTGTCCCCTAGGGAAGTACGTAAATCTGGCCATTGTGACTTTAATCTTCTTCAGATGCACCTCCAGCCACAGTTTTGATGTGTTCTCATCTTCTGCACTGACTCCCTCAAGGGCCTAGCCCTGTCTGACTGCCTATAATATGTCTACCTAACTTAACCGTCTATAATATTCCCCCCCTCTGAAGAGGTACCCCTAACTGCCATGAGCGGGGAAGGGACAAAAACCCGGACAAAGACCATTCTGGCTACTTCCGGCTGAAGAGGTCGTAGTTGTGATTAGCAGTCAGAGATATTCCACAGAGGGTCTATCTAACGGCTCTCAGTAGACACCAGGAGTTCTCTGGAAGAGACAAGGCCAAAGAAACAGTTCAGTATGGATGGGCTAATAATAAGACTAACAGTACTATTTTGAATACAACAAATATTTCCACCAGGAAGAGCCAGTAGTAGCCCCCCACAAAGAGGGTAAGGAGAAAGTCCATGGAATTTCAGCATCTGACATGGCATTACCTGTTGTTTAATATCTTGAAAAGCCATCGAGATATTAGCAGTAGGATCAGGATTGTACACACAACTAATTAACAGGTACCCCCTTGTGCTGCTGTTAGGATGTCTAATGCCAACCGATTTTGGAGGATGGCTTACCTTATTAATTTTACTTCTTCATTTAGGAGAAAGAGACCAGTCCAGGTATCATTTGTGGCCTATTAAGTATAGGTAGTCAGGGCCTTGATATGTTGCATGACATCCTTTAGAAAGGGCTAGAGATAGAGACCAAATGATTATACCAGTGAAACACTTGTAGACCATTGATGTTATAGATGGGGTAAGTTTGCAGGTTTGTCAATACTTTTGACACTCCTGCCTTGTAACCATGCAAATCCCAGTGTGCATTTCCCTATCCATCCAGTGGGTAGCCAGGGCCACAAATTGGTTCTGCAGGACCAGTGAGTGCCATTAGGGGCTTCCTGTCTAATTCCAGAGTGATTAAACCACTCTGTTTCAAACCAGTCTTCGACCTGTAAACACTGCCCAAGGAGTGTCCATCCCAAGGATTGAGTAGAGTTAGGTCAATGAGAATTGGAGTGATTTCTTCTTTCCCAGCGTAAGGGGGCCTTTCTACTAAATTATCTTATACTTAGTTGGAGTTAACCACATATAATCATCAGTACAAATATTGACTATCTGTCCTTCACTGAGTTGTAAAGCCCTTGTCAGAGCTATGAGTTCTGCTAGCTGGGTGCTAATCCCAGGGGCAAATGAGGAACTTTTAAGTGTCTAGTACAGAGTCACTACTGCATGCACTGCCTTTCTTGTCTTATTTTCCACAAAGGAACTGCCATCACAGAAGAGGGTCAAATTAGTAAGGTCCATGTCTAACAAGTTGTCTGTCTGCGTATGTATGGAAAATTACCTATTCACAGTCATGTATTTCAACCTCGGTTTCTTCTTTCTCTGGTAGGAAGGTGGCAGAGTTTAAGGAGCAGCATGTCTATATTTGAATGGCTGGTCCTTCTAGAAGTAGAGCCTGGTATTTTATTTAAGAATTCAGTTGTCTGATAGCCATAGGCTGCCTTTGGAAGAAAGAAGTCCTTCCACATTGATAGATAGATAGATAGATAGATAGATAGATAGATAGATAGATAGATCTTTGTTTAAAATCAGCTTGGATACCTCACATACCAGAAGAGATATGGCAGCCACAGCTGTCAGGTACACAGGCCATCCCTTTGCTACAATGTCTTAATTCACGACTTGGGAACCCTGAAGGTTGTTGACCAGATCCTTGATCCTGCATAAGCACTCCCAAAGCTATCCCCTGCTTTTCATCAGCATATAGATTGAAATGGTGTCCTCTGGGTAGGTTCAATGTTGGGATATTTAGAAGCACTTGTTTAAGCTTCTGGAATGCAGTTTAGGAATCAGGTTCCCAGGTTAAAATATGGATATCTGCCTTTTGGGCTTTCTTGATAAGCTGATAGAGGGGCTGTGGGGTCTCACCATATTCTGCTACTTAAAGGTGACAAAAGCCTGGAATTCCTAGGAATCCCCTTAGCTGTTTTAGGGTCTTGAGTTGCGGGAAGGAAAGTATTGGTTTAATTCTTTCTTCCTTCAGCCTCCAGTTTCCCTTAGGTATGGTAAGTCCCAAGTATTTCAAGACTGCAAGTTGTACCTTAGACCTAGAGACCTTATAAGCCCTATGTGCTTGAAAATTCAGCAGAACATAGGTGCCTTGGTGAGAGAGCTCTTCTGAGGGCCACGTAACAGTATATCATCTACATATGGCAGGACCATGACTTGGGAAAATTCAAAACACACAGGTTGTGGGAAGGCACTTCACCAAAAAGATGAGGACTATCTCTGAACCCTTGAGGAAGCACAGTCTTAAGTCAATTGAGAAGCCTGGTCATGAGGATTTTCAAAGGCAAAAAGAAACTGGGAATCTTTATGTAAAGGAATACAAAATAAAGCATCTTTTAAATCTAACACTGAAAACCAACTGGCATCTTCTGGGATCTGAGAAAGAAGAGTGTACAGCTTAGATACCACTGGGTGAATGGGCACTACTGCCTCATTTACCAATCTGTGGTCCTGTACCAACCTTCATTCTGCATTGGCTTTTTGAACTGCAAAGATTAGAGTGTTGCAAGGGCTGTTGCAATGTTTGAGTAGACCTTGTGCCCTTAAGTTATTGATTATAGGCAATAGACCTCTTTTAACTTCAGGCCTTAGAGGGTATTGTCTCCAATGAGAGTAAGTAGAGTCTTTGAGATGTATTTGTACTGGGGCAGCTCTTACTGCTTATCTACTTTACCTGTAGTTGCCCATACGTCAGGATTTATTTCTATCCCCATGAGGGGGAGGCAGTGTACCTGATCTGGGCGCATGTGTATTACAGTATTCAAGCAAGATAAGATATCTCTCCCCAGAAAGGAAACTGGACTTTCAGGGATAATTTAAAAGGACTGTGTAAAAAGAAAGCCATCCTAGTTACAGCCTGATGGTTGTGAGAAATAGTGAGTTACCTATTCTCCAGTGACTCTTTTCACTGAAATACAATGACTGGTAGGAAGGCCATGGTTGAAAAGAAGGACTGAGAGACATGGGCAAGGGTCCAGCAATAGGCCAGTTTCTTTTCTTTCTATAGTCAGATTACTGGGAGCTCCTCCATGGAGATGACAGTCTGGCCAGAGAGAGAGGAAGCAGAGAGCATGCCCTGGGGCCCTTCAGTCTTACTGGACCAACTGGTAAAATGGATCTGATACCTGGAGCTTCTGCCTCAGAGGGCAGTCCTTAGAAATCCTCTTTTGTACTTTTTTTGGGGGGTCTTTTTGAGACATGGTTTCACTGTGCAGTTCAGGCCGGCCTTGAACTGATGTTATAGCATAGTCTGGCCTCAAACTCACAGTGATCCTAGTAACTGGGATTACAGGCATGCACCAACACACCCAGCCTTGTGAGTATCTTTAGTTGTACTGTCATGGCTCCCTTAATATCCTGAATTGATTCAAAAGGTTTATCTTCTCGGTCATTTTACTTTGGGGAAGAGCCAGAAATCACACGATGCCAGATCTGGAGAACAAGGTGGATGAGGACACATTATAGTATTTCTATAAGTCTACTTTTTTTTAATTTTAAAGAGAATAAAAAAATAAAATAAAACCATAAAACAATACAGAATTTCAAAACAAGATGATAGGAAATCATCTTGGTTGTTATATTGAATATTGTTATCTTCAAAGTAATTCAGATTACCAGATACAGGTGTGCAAAATTGATAAAAAAATGAAGCATTAACTGTTCTTTTCAGTAAACCAGTAGTAATTAATAGTACAATTAGCTATCTTGGGTGTGTATATACATATTTTTTTTCTTTTACCTTTCTTTTCTCCTTTCCCTCATCCATTTGTTCTTTCCTTTTGAGCAGTTTCTTTCCCTTTCACAATATTTGTTGTACCTTCTGGATTTTATTTACTCTTTCAGGATCTCACACTAGGGAGACAATAGGATGTTTATACATGCAGGTCTGATTTACTTCACATATGAGTATGGTCTCTAGTTGCATCTATGTACCTATAAAAGCCTTGAGTTTATCTTTTTTATAGCTGAGTAATACTCCATTGTATAAAAATACATCTTTTTTACCCATTCCTCAGTTGATGGGCATTTGGGTTGTTTCCAGGATTTAGCTATGACAAACTGTGCTGCTGCTATAAGCATGGGTGCACATCTATCGCTGTGGTATGATATTTTCAATTTTTCTGGAAAAATACACAGAAGGGGGACAGCTGGGTCGAATGGGACCTCTAATCCTAGTTTTTTGAGGAGTCTCCACACTGATTTCCACAGCGGTTGTACTAGTGTGCATTGCTGCCAACAATAGAAAAGGGTTCCCTTTTCCCCACAGCCCCTCCAGCATTTGTTGTTGTTGATTTCTTGATGGTAGCCATTCTTTCTGATGAGATGGAATCTCAGTATTATTTTAATTTGCATTTCTTGAATGATCAATGATGTTGAACATTTTTTCATGTATTTATTTGCCATTTGTATTTCTTCAACTGAGAAGTGTGTATTCATCTCAGATGCCCATTTTTAGATTGGGTCTTTGAATTTGGGGGGCCTGATTTTTAAAACTTCTTTATATGTTCTAGATAGAAGCCTTTTGATGGACAGTTGGCTAAAAATTTTTCCTAATTCATGGACTTTCTTTTTACTTTGTTGATTTTTTTTTTTTTTTTTTGATAAACTGTTTCCTACTTGGAGCCAGATGAGATGTCTGAATTAGTGACTCATGAAATAAGATAATGATTTTTTTTTTTTTTTTTGAGAGGGGAACAGGGTCTCACTATGCAGTTCAGGCTGACCTTGAACACACTGTGTAGCCTGGATTACAGGTGTGCGCAACCACCTTTGGCTCTGTTGATTTCTTCTGAAGTGCAAAAACTTTTCAATAAGATGAGATCCCAATTGTTGATTCTTTGAAGTATTTCCCACGCAGTTTTGTTTTTGTTCATGAACTCTCTGCCTACCCCTATGTCTTCAAGATTTCTACCTACTTTTCTCTTCCAGTAGATTTAGTGTTTCTGTTTTAATATTTAGATCTTTGATCCATTTTGACTTTAGTTTAGTGCCTGGTGGTAGACATGGGTCTAGTTTTAGTCTTTGGCATGTGGAAAGCCAGTTTTTCCAGCAACATTTTTTAAAGAGGCTGTCTTTCTTCCAGTGAACATGTTTGGCCCCTTTGTCAAAGATAAGGTGGCTGGGTATGTTTGTAGTTGTGTCTGCATCTTCTAATCTGTTCCACTGATCTTCAGGTCTGTTTTTTCCCAGTACCATGCTGATTTTATCATAGTTATCTTTGTAGTATAATTTCAAGTCAGGAATTGTGATACCTCCTGCCTTTCCTTTTTTCCCCAGGATTGCTTTTGCTATTTGAGGCCTCTTCTGGTTCCAGATGAATTTTAGGAATGTTTGCTGTAGATCTGTGGGGTACTAATGGTATTTTGATTGGGATTGTATTAAATCCCATTTTGTTTTTGGGAGTATAGCCATTTTCACAATGTTGGTTCTTCCTAGCCAAGAACAAGGGAAATCTTTCCATTTTCTGAAATCCTCTTTGATCTCCTTTTTTTTCTGTAACCCACACCCTCATTTTCAGAATCGGATACAGACCCAGAATTTGTACATGCTGCTCAAAACTTGGGGCTTAATTCTTGGACCACTTTTGCAGTAAAGTGACTTGATGTGTGACATGAAGTTCTAGCTCAGAAGGCCATAAACTCTGCCCAAAAGCAGTTTACCATGATGCAGACTCACTGCCAGTGAGGTGTCATGTGGCTCTCTTCCCTGTCTACCTCTGAGCTAGCCATGTGGGGACCATGGGAGCATCTGCAGTTGTCTGCTGACCTGCCATGAAGAGGTCAAGTGGCCGGAGAGCACTGAGGCTCCCCCTGGGCAACACATAGTAGCAGTGTGTTTGCCCTCATCTGTTCTTCAGGCCTGACTTGGTGCCGTGCCTGTCAGCATACTTCGGATGTGCTCCTTTGTCCTGGGTGAGCCTCTGTTCCCAAACCTGCCAGTGTGCCTCTGGGTTTGTAGTATACCTTGCAGGTACTCTGGCCAAGCCTGGTTTTAATGCCAGGTATGAGATTGGGCAGTGATCTTTTTCAGGAAGATTGGTTGCTGTGCCGAATCACAGAAGACCTTTAGATAGCATATCCTTGGGCACATTTAAACAGGATGTGACCTGCACATCCCCCTTTGGAAAGGAACTGTGGCCCAAAACCTAACAGCTGTTGCTCTGGCCTGGCCTGGCAGGCACGGTGTGACACCTCCCTTGGGCTCAGTGTGCTGGCCAAGCCAGACTGCCTGCCTGTGCTGTGTGGTTCCTTCCATAATGATGGGGGCCAGATGTCTCCAGGGCCTTGATGGCTCAACAGCTGAGTTCTGGGTTAGGAAGTATCTGGGAATGCAGCTGCTCCTCCACACTTGCTGTCTGCTCAGGAGTGTAGACAATTCTTTGTGTTCTTCAAAGGCTGTTTTCCCTTTCTTTGTTTCTCAATTTTGTGGCTGGACAAAAACAGGAATCTTCCCATCACTCTCCTGATTTCCTCACCTTGATGATTTCCAGACAGAGGGGCCCAGACTTTGGCCTTTGGTCTGCCCACAGAGGTTGACTTCACACTGTGTCCAGCCTTCACTGTGTCTAGGCTCTGGGTTGGTGCCGTTTGCTGGTGTTTTTACTCGACCATTTCAGAAAGTGGCAGTTGTGGCTTTCTTGTAATACGTCAGCCCCACAGCTGTCACAGATGCTGTGTGAGTAGGAACGAGCCTGTCTTAGTTACTTTTCTCTCATTGCTGATACAAAATACTTGACACCCAGAATTAAGGAAGGAAAGGTTTATTTAGCTCACAGTTTGTGGAGGTTTCAGTCCATATTGGCGCCATGGCAGAGTGGCACATGGTAGAGGGCAATAGTTCATGGTGGCGGAAGACAGCAAAAGGAGCAAGAGCAAAAGGGAAGAGCAGCAGATAGCAAGCCTCTTTCCCTCTCTTATATTGTATGCAGGATACCCACCCCAGGACGGATGTAGCACTTATGCCCATAATCCCAACACTGGACCAAGAATCAATCATAAACTGTAGAAGCCCGCCCCATGACTGCATGAGGCTTTGCGGGGAACATCCAAACACAAACCACAACAGAGTCCCCTGCCCAAGGTCAGCTCATAGGGGGCTGCAGAAGTGCACTTCAGTTGGAGCCCTTGCGATGCTACATTACTATTAGGACCAAGAGATTAAAGTGTTTTGGGACATGGACATGAACAAGATCCACTCCTCACCACCAGGGCAGGGGAAATAATAGGTTGTTAATAAATTTCATCGAGAGTAATAATAAAATAAATCCCATGTACATACCATCCAGGTCTAGCATTTCCCTCCTCGTAGCCCCTGTGCTCCCTCTCCTTCCAGTAGCAGCCTCCCTGTCCTGATGAGACCTGTATTGGTTTGAGCCTTTATTCCTAGGGGTTTTTCTAGAGTGTGCGTCCGCTGATACAAGTTGCCTTGCTTGATCGAGTTTTGAAGTCTAGAAGGAATCACTTTGCAGCACCCTTGGTGGTTTGCTTTCTTTTCCAGTATTAGATGTTTGCTATCTGTCCACCTTGAAGCATTCTCCCTTTTGCTGCTTTCATTCACAAATGGGCCACAGGTACTTTTCAGTTTGGGTTCCAGGTGTGGTGGAACTCTGAGTGCTGCTGGCCAGGAGGATGTTGCCAGTGCAGTCCAAGGCCTGGTTAGAAGGAACTTGCCCTCCTGGGACTTGGGTGTGCAGGCTGCATCAGTGGGGCCATCAGTGTTCTTGTGAGATTCAAGCAAGGTGGAGCAGGTGGGTCTGAAAAGAGCTGTTACAGCTGGATCTGTGTAGAGGCCTTGATCATGAGCCTAAACAGATGGAAGTTGGCATACCAGGTATTCCCATAGTGCTTGACCTGAGGAGGGTGGAGCTGTGCTAAGTGCTGGATCCTCACTTCAGGGAGCTGTTCCAGTCGCAAACTGCAGAAATAGGGTGTGAGCTGGGCCCCAGAGTGTGGCCATGGTCTGGGATATGTTGCCAGGTGGCTGACCACCCAGCTCTGCCCCAGAGGTCCTTACATCCCCCAGAAAAATCTTTGGTTGTAGACCAGCCTGGGTCTCAGTCCCATCTCTGTGCTTTATAGCGCTATAGCCTGGCCCTGTTTTTTAAACAGAGTATTTGTGTGTCTGTATAAAACGTGAGGAAGTCTGCCTCGGTTGGCATTCTGTGCATTGGAGGATGGAGTATGTAGCTGTCTCAAACATTTGGAGCTGTCATCAGTAGATTACAAAGTTGCTTCCATTACCACCAGAGAGTTTTTATATGCCATAGTAAGTCTGATAGGTGATCCAAATGCAGCATAAGTCACAGTGTGGAATATGCAAGTGAAGACATTGCCTAGAGTGAGGTGGGCCTATGAGGGCTGGTCCAAAGGTGGAGGAGGGGCAAGTCCTAGGTGTATTGTTTGCTATGGGTTGACTCGAGTGTGTATGTTAGGCCACTGTCCAGTACACTTGGCCACTAGCCACACATGGCTTTATAAATGTGCATTTATTAGAAGTAGACAAAATTAGGAGTTCACCTTCTTGGTCACATTTCACAAGCTCAGGAGCCACCAGTGGCCAATGGGTGGATAATGTTCTACAGGGAATTTTCCAGCCCAGCAGTGTTTGGGAATTAACTGCCACCATCCTCTGTCTTTAGTAGTTTCTTAGGAGGCAGTGATTTTTGTGTGCTTTGGACCTCTGCAGGTGGAGCTGGAGGTCACACTGCCAGGAGAAGGCAAAGACCGCATCTTCAAGGTATCCATCAAGTGGGTATCCTGCGTGAGCTTACAGGCGTTACATGATGCACTTTCGGGGCGGCTGCCCAGTGTCCCTTTTGAGACGATCCAGGCCCTGGATGTGGTCATGAGGCATTTGCCATCCATGAGGTGAGAGTGCCACGTGGGACCAAGGGGCCGGGTGTGACTGGGAAGCATGCTGTCTCTATCCCAGAACAGGCAGTAAAAACACCATGCGGGTGTTTTGTGGTAAAGAGTAAAACAGGGCTAAGATAGAAAAAATTTAACATAAAAATTAACCATGAGCATTTTCAACCAAACCCAAAAAGAATTACCTCCCGATCTTGTGCCCCTGGGTGCCTTTTGCCATATGCCTTGTGTGGCCAGCACTTTGTGTACCTTGTCCTGATGCACAGGACTCATAGTGCTAATGCCCTGATGTCGTGCTTGGTGCATGTCCACCCTAGAGGACCTTCTCCATGCCTGGTTATGACTATGGACAGCACCATAGATACCTTGGATTTCTTGTTTCATTCTAAATGATCATCTTGTGGCCTGAGATCACCGCGTTTGGCACTGCTAGGAGAAAGGGTAGGTGAACGTTGCAGCGCCACATCAGTTTCCATGTGCTGGGCAGAGGGTCCTGCCAGCTTCCTATGAGAGTAGCATGGACGAGCAAGGCCAGCTCACCACTTCCACACTGGGATTCTCACACTGGTGCCTCCCCTAGATGTGGTACCCAGTAGGGTCTCAGGAACAGTGGGAAGGGACCGATGAAGAACAGGAAGCCAAACTAGAGAAGCACAGCTCCACACTGTCTCTCCAGGACTCACACTGATCTGCAGAGGGAAGGAGGGGCTATGTAAGAAGGCACTCTGAAGCCAGGTGCTAGATTTAGAGAGGACTGTGGAGTCTGCAGCTTCAGGCTTGGATGGAAGTAACATATCTAGGACCAGCTGTCACTCCTGGCAGGGCCTGGCATATGATCTGTCACTACTTGGAACAGTTGATGGCTGGAAAGCAGGCAGGAGCAGAAATAATCTAGAAGGATGGTAGCCAGATGTCTGTATTTTTAATTGAGTGGTAGGAATGACTGTAGTTTCTCCATTCTGAATTCCTTTGGATTATTTACATTAATTTTACAATTGGGGAGGAAACTGTGTTTTCATTTTGGAAGACTAATGGAAATAGAGGTACCATTAGCACATCTCATTTAGAAAATGAAAAGGGCCATCTCCATGATTTTATTAATAGTGTAGCGCCCCACAGGATAATACCACTGGTAAATGATGTACCCACCCTGTGGAGTTGTAGCCTGTGGCACATCCCCAATGGTTAGGTGCTGGGTGCCCCTGTAACCCCATAGGTAGAGTGCACTGTGGTCAGATAGGCTATGGCTTGGGTCCACACATGTCCCAGCAGAAGGGTGTGAATCCTGTGCTGGCTTACCATTCACTGTACACCAACTCAGGCTCCCAATGTAGTGAGCTCACTGTGCCTGCTGGTCCTCAGTCCCTGGATAAAAGGAGCTGAATGAAATAGGGAATGAATGCCCAGCCACACAGTGCTTAGCAGCCACTGTAACCCCATAGGTAGAGTGCACTGTGGTCAGATAGGCTATGGCTTGGGGCCATAGCCTCATAGCTTGGTCCATAGACTGGTCCAGCTGCCTCAGCCTGATAGTCATGGCACTTGGCAGATGCTCTTAGTCATATGCCCCTACATAGTTGACAAGGCCGTGTTCTGGAAGGACTTGAAGGGGTACACTGTAAGATGTGCAGTCTAAGACATAGAAAGTAAGCTTACGGACTTTTAACAGGAAGACAAGAGAGTGTTGAAAACACCAAAGCAACCCCGGGGCTCCATGTGTACCCCAAGGCCCTAAATCCACTCACAAGATCCCCTTAGAGTGTCGGCCACATATCTACGTGCTAGAACCACAGTGGGTTCCCAGCCAGCTCGAGCTGACACTGAGACTCAAGAAAGGTCCCCAGAGCTGCTGCTTACACAGCATGCCTCAAAGGAGCTGCTGTGTCAGACAGGCTGGGATATAGGAAAGAGAAGCAAATTTATAGGGAGGATATCAGAATGCCACTGTGTGTGTGTAGGGCAGAGCAGATGCAGGCCCGGCACTTGCAGCACAGCTGAGCAGGCGGGGCCTCTCTGGGTTGCAGGTACACCCCTGTGGGCCGTTCCTTCTTCACCGCGTCTGAGGGCTGCTCCAACCCTCTTGGTGGGGGCCGAGAAGTGTGGTTTGGCTTCCATCAGTCCGTCCGACCTTCTCTTTGGAAAATGATGCTGAATATTGATGGTAAGCAAAGGGGCCATTGTTGCAGTATAGGTTGGGGAGTAGGTGGAAGGGAAGAGCCTTTGTGGCCAGCTCCAAACATAGCCTCTGGCAATGCCTATGTCACCTGAATGGTGTCTGAGGGCAGATCAGTGGTTCCTAGGCAGGCATCAGAGCCCTCTGGAGGTCTCCATCCCTAGAGATGGATCAGGGTTGAGGAGCTACGAGGCTGCTGGGTGCTACTGGTTGTGCTGGGCACAGACTCAGGCCATGCTCCTGGCTTCCCTCCTGGAATCTCAGGGGTTCACGTGTTGGAGACATCTAAGGGTGGGGCAGCTGGTTGGGGCCAGTTCAGTGGGTCTCTTCTCCAGTCTTGGGCATGGCTGTCTCTCCCTGTCTCAGGAGAATCTGATTGCTTCTGTCTGTGGGACCTCCACTTCCTTCTCCTCCACCGAGATAAGAGAAAGTCAGAAAGAAGAATTCACTCCTCTTGTTTGGGAGTTAATTAATTACTACAAGAAGCTCTAAAAAAAGCTTGAAAATTATGCCTTGCTCAGATACAAATTTATTGAAAAAGAAATAAAGAATGGGAAATGAAATACTGTACCAAAAGATGTTCAGAAGACCCTACAAAATCTAAGGCTTATGGCTCTTCCGATCTGTTAGGCTTTGTTTTTTTGTTTTTTGTTTGTCTTTTTGAGACAGGGTCTCGCTGTGCAGTTCAGGCTGGCTTTGAGCTCACTTTGTAGCCCAGGCTGGTCTCGAATGTGCACCAATCCTCCTGTCTCATCTTCCTGAGTCCTGGGATTAAAGGTGTGCACCACCATGCCCAGCGAGGCTGTGTTTTTTAACTAGTTTTATTCTCAGAGACCAACTTTGTAGACTCAGTCAACCTCTTCCTGGTTCCCCAGCCAGAGAAAGTATAACATCCCTGGGCTCGTTCCTGTGCCTGTCAGGCATGGGACTCTGGGTGTTTCCTATCTCAAAAGCCCAAAGGTAAACTCTGCAGAGTGAACACTGAAGTTAAGTGTCTTCCTCCCTGGAAGGAAGACAAATGGCTCAGTCTGCAGAAGCCACTCCAGGATTGCTGTATGGTCCACGTGGTAGGGACACCACCAAACTCTTATCTCTGTCTTTTCCTGCCTGCAGTGTCGGCGACAGCTTTTTATAAGGCACAGCCAGTGATTGAGTTTGTTTGTGAAGTTTTGGACTTTAAAAGTATTGAAGAACAACAAAAACCTCTGACAGATTCCCAAAGGGTAAAGTTTACCAAAGAAATTAAAGGTAATGAGCCATCCCAGTACACCAGGTCATGGGGCAGGGCAGCCCGCTAAGTGCCCTTTGTCCGTATGCTTGTGAGTTCCTGTTCCTACCAGAGGGAGGTGGAGGAGGTGGCAGATGACAACTGTCTGATGAATGATTAGAGATGTTTATGTCCCATCCCACTGTGGGAATGATGATTTTCTAAGGAAATGTACCTATCCATGTGGGGCAGGAATAAGAGAATGGGTCAGTAGTATCCAAATCCCAGATGTGAAGCCTGGAATTAACCACAGACAGTAGTGTGGTGCTACCACCCCTTGGGAGCCTGCAGCAAAAACCGAACTCCCACGACTGGGTCTGCAGCCCAGGTTCCTGTTGAAAGCCACAGGCAAGCATGGCCACTGATGCCTGCTGTGTGCTGTGTCACAGGTCTAAAGGTGGAGATAACGCACTGTGGGCAGATGAAGAGGAAGTACCGTGTTTGCAATGTGACCCGGCGGCCCGCCAGTCACCAAACGTAAGTGACCGCCTTTTTTACACTCCTTCCTATTAGGCTTGGGTCCTCCCTGTCACTCAAGTTTCCAAATTCTGGGACCTTGATCCTCTTGGAAAGAATCTTATTCTGTTCTAGAATGCCAGGATTTTTCCTTATGTGGCTCACTAGATCCCAAACTTCACTATTGAAATAAACTCATAAAATATTGAAATTCACCCTTGTTGGGAAGGAGTGGGTTTTCATAGGTGAGAGAAAGGTCTCTGCTGTGTGTTGTCCAGCGCTAATTCTAGGAAAAGCTGGATGTCTGTGGACACTATGTGACCCATGGGTGTAGCTGGGCCTAGACTGCCCCTGCCAGCCTGCCAGGGATACCCCTCTTCTGCTGTGTGTCTCATTACTTGGAGAGTTTTGTGTCCAAGTCATTGCTGTCTTTTCCTCCTATAAGAATACAGTGTTCATTTTGGGGAAAGTGATAGGTTTGGACCTCGTGCCCTAGCTCATTTGTTTATCTTATAGTCTTTTCATAGAAAACACCTACATTATTGCCAGGCACTAAAAATACCAGAGTCCCCAGGGCCTTTTGAAATACAAAGGGAGACCAGCTAGGTCTGGCCCTATGACCTCCTTCCATTGGGCAGGTAACAGACTTCCCAGCAATGTAGACACAGTGGAGTAGTCTTGCGGCACAGGCTGGGATACCAACTCATTCTCCTCTTCTGCTTTTGGTCCTCTCCTGCCTCAGCCCTGCACAGAGCCATGGATAGCTACAAGAATAGCCCATCTCACTCCCATCCTTCTCCTCTCCTGGAACATCTTACTTCCTGTTGGCAAGTGGAGGGATAGCCACAGGGTGACTGTCAAGAGTTGCCATAGTCTGAGGGAAGTCCATGGGCCTTTTTGTCTCAATCTGTCTTTGTTCTGAATCCTTTTTGGAACTTACTGGCATGTGGGTGATTTGTGATTATTGCCTATCTTATGCTTGTAGGCATTTTTTATTTTCTAGCCCATAGACACAAAATGAGAACTGGAGCTCTCTGGAATAGTCCAGGTCATCTAGAGGACAGGATTTGGTTTTCACTCCTAGGACTTGCTCTGAGCACTTGGTTTTCCACCTGTCACCCCAGGAGAGCAAACCCAAACATGCAATCCCGGGTGAGGTGTGTATAGGCTCCAGTGGCTGTTCTGTGGAGTTCTCATCCAAGCTACCTCTTTGTTCTCCAGGTTCCCACTGCAGCAGGAGAGTGGGCAGACAGTAGAGTGCACAGTGGCCCAATACTTCAAGGACAGGCACAAGCTGGTTCTGCGCTACCCCCACCTCCCATGTTTACAAGTTGGACAGGAGCAGAAACACACCTACCTTCCCTTGGAGGCAAGTGGTTTGTGTCTGTCGTGTGTCTCTGGGGCAAAGAGGAGATACAAATGGGCCGCTGCAACCACAAGAAACACAACTGTGTCATTCCTGCTGCTGTAAGACCCTGGCAAGTTAGGGAATGTTGCTGAGCCTCAATTTCCCCTGTGATAGAATGGGATTGGCGGCTCTGATGGAATTGGTGTGAGGACAGACTGAAGTCTGGGTAATGTGTCTAGCACAAAAGTCAATCCTGGGGCTGGGGATTTAGCTCAGCAGCACAGCGCCTGCCTGGCAAGCACAAGGTCGTGAGTTCGATTCCTGGTACCGGAAAAAAAAACAAAACAAAAAAAAAACAGAAAAGTCAATCCTCAGGACCTGTGCTGATTCTTCATCTATTCTTTATCTAGCATTAAGGCTGTTTGAAAACTCTTATCCTTGGTAAAAGATCAAACACCAAAACTAACAAACACATTTCAGTCTTCCCTGAGTGTTACTTTTCTGGTGTCCTGGTCCAGCAGTAGATGTCCTTTTTCTTGAGCAGCCAGTTTCCCTTTCCTCCACTCCCTTCCCCCCCTCCCCTCCGCTTTTCTCTTTTGGTTTAGTGTTACTTTTTGAGATAGGGTCTCACTATGTAGTTTAAGCTGGCCTTGAACTCACAGTCCTCTTGCCTCAGTCTTCTAAGTGCTGGGATTACAGGTGTTTGCCACCACACCCAGCTGAGCAGCCAGTTTCATGAACTAAAATTTTAGACTCTTCTCTGCTGAGGACTGGAGAGAGCCCAGAAACATTGGGTTGGACCTGGCTTCATGTACCTGTTTGTGTCTTGCTTGGTTTACTTAGAGGCCATTCTGTGTGAGCCAGAAGGCTATGGAGCAGCTCCACTATTTGGCAGAGTGCTGGCCCTCACCTGCGCACCTGTCCACATGCAGCACAGGTATTGACCCCTCTGCATCTTCTTCGTAGGTCTGTAACATAGTGGCAGGACAGAGATGTATAAAAAAGTTAACGGACAATCAGACCTCAACCATGATCAGAGCAACTGCCAGGTCGGCACCTGATAGGCAAGAAGAGATCAGCAAATTGGTAAGGGCTGTGTCTTCGGGGTCAGTCCTGGGATGGCATGGCACAGCAAGGACACCTGCATGCTTTGGACATATGTGGCTGCCACAGGCTGCAGAGCCCTGCCTGGCTTTGAGCTTTCTTTTTTTTTCCCCTCTTTTCAAGATGCGAAGTGCAAGTTTCAATACAGACCCATATGTTCGTGAATTTGGAATCATGGTGAAAGACGAGATGACAGATGTGACTGGGCGTGTCCTACAGCCACCCTCCATCCTGTATGGGGGCAGAGTAAGTCCAGAGGGCAAGGAGTAGGGGAAATGAGTCTGCACAGCACCAGTGGAGGCCCTGTGTCTGGCCCTCACCCACAGTGCTGTGCAGAGTTTGGGCAAGGTACAGGCTCCTCCTGGTCTGGGCTGCCCCTGCGAGGGCCTTGGCTTCATGAAGACATAGCTTTCTTGGTCCTTTAGAAAGATTCTCAGAATTGGGGCTGGGGATTTAGCTCAGCGGCACAGCACCTGCCTGGCAAACGTGAGGTTGTGAGTTTGATTCCCGGTACCGGGGGAAAAAACAAACAAAAAACAAGAAAGATTCTCAGAATTGTCCTTAATGTTTCAAAAGATCATTTTATCTCATCAAAATGTAAAAGGGGTCATTCTCATGTGGTAAACACTCTACTAGTGCAGAGCTCTTTCCCAGGGCTTATCTTGTTTTTCTGTTCTTTAACTTTTGCTTTCCAGGTACTTGGTAGGAAGCATCACAGTTAGTATTTTGCCAGTGTAACCTCTGGATTTTGTAGTGAGCCAGGAGGTCCTGACCAGTAAGTCTGTGGGGTTCACAAAAAGGGGTTCCTCGTTTCCTCTGACGGGGCCCCAGTGGTAGAGCAGGGGGCAGTGCCCAGGCTCGTTGGGCCTGAGCATCAGAGGCACTGACTCCTCGGTAGCTGGGTTCAAGGGGAGGGCTCTACCAGCTTTGCTCTGTTGTCTACTGCATTTTACTCTAGTCTTTGAGATTTATAGCAAAGTAAAGTTTTAATTTTGTTCTCATTTTTAAAATAAAAGTTCTTTTTCTTTTGTTTTGAATTGCTGGGGTTCAAACCCAGGGGCTTTCATTTTTTTAAAATGCTTTAGAATTCAAAAGTTATAAAAGAATTACACAGAAAGCCTCTTTTTCCTAGCTCTCAGTTACCCTCCCAGGAAACAATTGGTGTCATCTTTCTCCTTTGTAAAACCACCCACAAATTATCACATATTTTTTCATGCCTTTAGTACATGCTGTGCCCTGTTTTTCGTCACTGTACTGTTTCGTGAAAGAGTTCACCAGGATTTTACAGGTTATCTTGTGGTGTATATAATGCAAGTTGGCTCTTTGTGGCTGTTGCACAGTATCTGTGTTGAATGTGTCTGAGTCTGCCATGGCCCAGTGGCACTCCTGTCCTGAAGGGGACTTCTGAGCGGAGCCTCTGTCTTCCCATGCTGGTTTGTGCACCTGCGTGCCATGACATTGTACACATAGCATCTGTTCATTCCCCCAGCCCAGGAGGGAGAGTGCTTTGTTCCCTTGCACAAGTGAGAGAAGAGGTGCTACAAAGGGAAGCGGCTGGCTCCCGAGGCCCTGGGTGGTAAAATGAAGATTTCAAACCCAGTGGTCTGTCACTCCTCCCTGCTTTCCTCTATTTCATCATTGTTCTGCCTCCTACTAAAGAGGAGCAGTTTGAATAACAGAATCCCTCTTGTAATCATCCTTGTAATGCTGGAATCATAGGGATTAAAAGAGCTCATATTGTTTCTAAATGAGTGCATTTTTCTGGGCCCCTGAAACATTTTCCCAGAAGGAAAGACCCTCCATGCTTCTTTCATCACCTCCCCTGCCTAGTGTCCACTGTTAGCACAAGAAGTGAATTCTCTGCTGCAAGCAGTGCATGCAGCCGGGGCTTATAGCCAGGAGACATCTTGTGGTATCTGGAGATACTGTTCCTCATTCCAGCTCAGGTGGATGTGATTCCTGGCACCTACTAGGCAGACAGTAACATGCACAGGACACGCTGTCATGAAGAACCACCTCATTCCAGCTCAGGTGGATGCGATTCCTGGCACCTACTAGGCAGACAGTAACATGCACAGGACACCCTGTCATGAAGAACCACCAGCTCCCCAGGCTCAGTCTGCTGAGGTTGACATCTAGATAGTAAGAGCCACTTCCTATGAAGATGCCATGCACTATGTGTGTGCGCACGCATTGGCAGCTGTCTTGTGGAGAAGGAGTCACGGAAGCAGGTAGTGACAGCAGCTTGGGCACAGATGTTTCTTGCAGGAGCGCTCAGTCCTAAGGTGGCAGTGCTACTCCTACATGTAGCCTTTCTGGAAGAATGACTGGAAGGCATTTCAGAGATTCCTTAGGTGAGGATGTTAGGGGCTGGTCCTTCCTAATTAAAAAATGATAAGATTAAGCAGATGTGAGGCTTCTTATTTCTCTTTCCAAATGAGAGTAGTTTCTACCTCTGACACAGCTATAAGCATGGGCAGAAGAAAAGAGTGCTAGGCTCAGTTCTTGCTGTCCTGCCCACACACTAGACCCAGGCCTGGGGAAGAGGATTGGCCTTCCCTTTCTTTCCAGGTGGTCTTAGTGATAATAGATAGATAGCTTAAGGCACAGCATTCTATACAACACAAAAGCTTCCTCTGGCATCGTAGGGTGCCTCTGTTCCACTAGGCTATTCATGAGCTTGAATAGAACTCTGGGACCCTTCCTGCTCTCCTGTTGGTTACACACCCATGCATCCTCCCTCTAGCTCTATATCCACCCACCAGTCCGTCTACCCACCTTGCTGTCCACCCAGCCTCTCATCCATGTATCTACCCATCCATCCTCTATCCAGCTTTTGGCTCAACTATCTTGTCTGTTCCTCCCATCATCCATCCACCCATCCATCCATCCATCCCCTGTGCACCACTTTTCCATTCCTTCTCCATTCAACTCTACATGCAACCACTCTCCCCTGTTATCCAGCCACTCTGCAAACATGTGCAGGTTGCCTGCAGTACAAGTCCAGCTAGAGATGGGATGACACAAAGGTCAAGTTACTACCCTCAGGAGGCACAGTCAGGGGGAACCAGCAGTGAGAGTGACAAAGGCCAAAGTCAGAGGACTGTTCCCCATGTTTTCTCACCCTAAACTCGTTGCCATTTACAGAACAAAGCAATCGCCACCCCTGTCCAGGGTGTCTGGGACATGAGGAACAAGCAGTTCCACACAGGCATCGAGATCAAAGTGTGGGCCATTGCGTGTTTTGCACCTCAGCGCCAGTGCACAGAAGTCCATCTGAAGTAAGCCGCCTAAAGGCATCTGGCCATGGTTTTGCTCGGTGGGTCGGGAGCAAGTGGCTCTGGGAAGACCTGCCTGTGTATCAGGGTGTGTGTGCCACCCGGGGTTCATGTGGTGGGGTGTCAGCCTTTCTTGATCAAAGAGCAGTTGCCTTGGCTGGCTAGGCTGGGAAGTATACTGCCTTCTCAGTATACTGCTTCCTACTGGGACTGCTACCAGAGTGAGCGTGGAGAAACAGCACAGATTTGCATACAGAAAAATACAACCCTTCAGTTAAAAGTACAGGCAGAGCCTGCTGTGGTGGTGAACACCTAGGGTCCAGCTCCTGGCAAAGCTGTGGCCGAGGATTGCTTGAGCCAGGAGTTTGAGACCAGTCTAGGCAGTTTAACAAGAGCCTGTCTCTAAACAAAGAGGTAGGTGGATAGAGCTGAAACAAAAAAGAGAAAATTGAATTCAGTGAACTGAAATTATGATACACCTTAGCTTGGTATTTCTGTAAATTAAGTGAGGAGAAAGGACAGAATGGGCGGTAATAGAAAGGTGGTCAGGCTGGGAATATTTTCTTCATTCTTGCACAAGGGAAATGTTTAAAATAAAGAGGGGAAGCTTTGGTTGATGAGCCTCTACCACTGGGCCAGAAGGGCTGGGGACAGCAGTGGGGAGCCTGGGACAGCCTGCCTGACCTGGTGTCTGGAAACATGGTCTGATGGCTTATGCTTTATTTGCCAGCATTACAAGGGAAAATTTTTCCTTCTTGTCTCTCTGGGTGCGAGGTAGCTGGTAACTTGACCATTCTAGCAAGGGGTTGTTCTACAAAGCCTGGTGGGGGGTGGGGGTGGGGGTGGCAATGCAGGAGGCTGCTGTCCATGGTCGGTCTCTTGTCCATGCTGGGGCAGAAAGAGGGTTGGGAGACAGGTTAGAGTTCAGATGCTGGGCAGCTCCCCTGGCCATCTCTCATCCTTGTGCCCCCTTTCCACTTTCACCCAGAGCTGAATAGCACTGAGTCGGCGTGTAGATGAAATGCAGATGAGCACGTGTGTTTCTGTAACACAATGTGTTTCTCTTGTGGGAAACTGAGCACTTGACTGGTGAGATTGGATTGCAGTGTCCTCACCCTATCTATAGAAGGCCACATGATTTTTATGCTTAAGCTTAATGTAGAAGCTGTGGGTCTATGTCCCCACCCTGCTGAGCTGGTGGGCTCTGCTGATGTACTGCTCTGGCACGTGGGCCATTTTGCTTCTCCTGGTTAGATCATCAAGTCTGAAGTTGTATCCTGGGATAAGGGGAACATCTGAAAGGAGTAGGAGCTAGTAATCTTCCCTCCCTCCTTGACAGGACCTGCCATTCACCTGGGGAAACCTGTGTCCTCACCTTGCTCAGGGCAGTTGTGGCCTGCCAAGTAAGGGACAAAACCTTGTCAGTGCACAGCAGAGTGTCACAATGAGAGACAGTGTGAATATCATTTGAAGTGTGCTCTTTTATTTTGGTACAGCTGCCACACTGACTTTTTGGTTGCCTCTGTAGATGTTTGTAACTTAGGCCTTTCTGTGGGCTGAGAATGTTTTAGGAGATGGAGTTTGACATCTGGCTTTGTCTGGGAATTAAAAAAACTTAATTCTAAAAGGTTTGCCATCATTGTCCATAATCATGCTTTCAAGGCTAGGGGTGTAGTCAGTGGTAGAGTGCTTTGCTGCCCAGCACAAGGCCTGCATTTGATCCTCACCAACCAAAAAAGCAAAAACAAAACTCGCATGCTTTTGGCTTCATTTAGCTTGTGCCCTTTATTTGGGCCTCTGATTGGTCTAAATTCTTTGCCACTTCCAGTGCATTTTAACAAAATAGACCTTCTCCTTTAGGTCCTTCACGGAGCAGCTCAGAAAGATCTCAAGAGATGCAGGCATGCCAATCCAGGGCCAGCCATGCTTCTGTAAATACGCACAGGGGGCAGACAGTGTGGAGCCCATGTTTCGGCATCTCAAGAACACATATGCTGGCCTCCAGCTGGTGGTGGTCATCTTGCCTGGAAAAACCCCCGTTTATGGTAGGTGTCTGGTTGTCCACCAGTTTTGGGAGCCATAGTGGTCTACACAGGTATGACTGCAGCCACACAGGAGTGCTTGCTTCAGGTCCATTCTGGAGCCTGAGGAAGAAGTGGTTCTTGCCCCCTCCCATCAGTGTCTCGTATGAGTCCACCAGCCTGGATAGCTGGCCCACTCCAGTTGTACAGAACTCAGCTTGAGAGTGGGTGTCATATCCACTATACAGTAAGAGTGTTGGGGCAGAGAGGAGCATCTCCTAGCACCCCAGAGCACTCCTGAGGATGGCAGCAAAAACTTCTGTGTCTCCAGGACTCAGTCTAACGTTTGTAATTTGTGTAATTCTCTGAAAATTTCTCAAAATCCTTTATGAGGGCAGATACATGAATGTATGGACCCCCTTTGGTAGTGTCCTGGCCCTCCAGAAAATACAGAACAAAGTCAAATACAGCCTTCTGCTCAGGAAGCCCCAGGTAGTAGGGAAACCCTCATGACAGGCCATGCAGATCCAGCTGCAGCAAGGGGAGAGCTATTTGCAGCACACTAGGAACCCAGAGGCTCCCAACAGGAGTTTGGGGGCCTGGAATGAGAGCTTGTGGTACAGGGGCCCTGAGGCAGAAGGAAGCCACTGGATCATGGATATTGCCAGCAGGATCCCCAGCCAGCCAGAGGCAGGTTACAGACATGTGAAAGCCCACACTTCTCCCCTTCCAAGTTCAACCTCCGAAAAAAGAAGGAAGAAGAAAGCCACTGGTGTTGACATGCTATTAATATTGTCCTGGAGTCACTCTTTCCACAGAGCTGCCCTGGGGCAGTGACCAGCTGCTCTGTGAAAGAATCCAGGGAGAGAGGTGGTGTGGGCCTGCAGAGCTCTTTGATGTCAGATCTGTATTTGCCAAGGATTTCCTTGTTTTTTTGGCAAGGATTTTGAGAATGCCAATGTTTTTATTTTTAACTACTTGAGCCCATGCTATAATGTAAGGCGTCTTTGCTGCTGAGGAATGCCAAGCCCTCAGTTCTTGCTGAGCTCTGCTTGTCCCACCCTGGGTCCAAGACAAGTCATTTCAGTTGTCTTTGTTCTCAGATTGAAAGAATGTGATGCACCTGCCGGGCTTCCCTTCCTGAGAAGGGTGGGATGGGCCCTGGCTCATGGCAGTGCCAAAGCAAGACTGCTTGGAGCTGAGCCCATTCCATGTACCAGTGACCCTCCTCACAGGCTAACTGCAGCTGCCGGGGCCCAGGACCTGTTGGATCTGGCCTTGTACCAACACAGTTCAGGGGGGTATCAGGAGAGCAAGGAGGCCAGCTGAGGAAGGGGTGCTAATGGAACCTGTGATGTATGTGCTTCTGTGCTGCACAGCTGAGGTCAAACGTGTGGGAGACACTGTGCTGGGGATGGCCACACAGTGTGTGCAGATGAAGAATGTGCAGAGAACCACACCACAGACTCTGTCCAACCTCTGCTTGAAGATCAATGTCAAGCTGGGAGGTGTCAACAACATCCTGCTGCCCCAGGGCAGGTAAGTCCCCATGTGTGGAACAGTTCATTGGATGGGTGGTATTTCTTGGCATGGGAGCCTGGTACCCAAAGGGGTGGAATCAGTTACACCAGCCAAGTGCTGTGTTAAAAACAACAGATCAGCGAGGTCAGCGTGGATCTTGGGCTGCTCGTGATCTTGGGGAGCATGGCCAGAGCAGGTATCCCTTCCTGTTCCCCTGCTCCCAACAAGGGTACTTGCTCAGGAGTGTGTGGGTGAGTGATGCTGAACAGAGGTATACTCGGAGTGCCACGAGACACATGTTCCAGCTCTTGGACCTGGAGCAGTGGCTGCTATATAGATCTTATTATTTCCCATGCGATGCTGGCCATCCATTGCTGCTGAGCACTCTGTCAGGGCATTTTGAACTGAAGAGCTCCGTGTAAGAGCCACTGCTGGTGGGTCCCTGGCCAGGGCCAAGATGTGTGGCCAGGTCCCCGCTGCCATTGTGCCTCAGAGTGTGGCTGGGACAGTGGAGCTGCACCTTCCTCAGACACCTCCTAGGCCTGGCAATGCCTGAGTGTTAGAGGGCAAGGCCAGGGTCTGTGCTTGTCCCTCTTCAGAGCCTGCTGGCCTCTGATGCAAGCACAGGAGCAGTCGTCATGATGACAGATGCTGTCGAGGTGATTTTGTCTTTAAAGACCCATTAGAATGACACGCAGTAGTGAAAACAGACTGTTCACTGACTCAGACTGTCTTAGAGTAACAGAGGTAAATGTGGAGACTGTCGGCAGTTGTTGCTTCGCTCACTGATCTGGAAAGCAGGCAGTGGCGAGTGCCACCTGTGTGCAGCCCACCAGCCTGCCCTGGGTGGCCCTAGTATCTTGGTCTCTTTCTTTGTTATAAGGAAACCCCTGAAGTTGGTTTTTTTTCCCTTCCTTCCTTTTTTCCCTCCCTCCCTTCATCTCTCCTTCCTTCCCTCTCTGTCTTTTTTGTTTTTGAGACTGGGTCTCTTATGTAGTCCAGGCTGGCCTTGAGCTCACTATGTGGTCCAGGCCTGCTGCAGTCCTCCTGCCTCAGCCTCTCGAGTGCTAGGATGACAGGCTTGAGCCACCACACCTAGCAGAAGCTGGGTACTTCAAAAAGAAAGGGAATAGGGAAGAGGTTTATTTGTTCCACTGTTGTGCAGCTCCAAAGGCACAGTTCCAGCCTAGGCCTCTTGAGAGGGCCAATTGGTGTCTCATAGCAGGAGCACGTTGGCAGGGGTCACAGGAGAGAGCTCTCACCATCTAACCACTCTGCCATGGTAACTGCATCACCTTCAGTTGGGCCCCACCTTTCACTACCATTACATGTGAGACCAGCCTCCCACACCTGAGCCCTTGAGGGACACTGCAGACGGCCTGTGTTCTTAGCACTGACCAGCATCTTCCCCAGATACCCTGGACTAGGGCCTAGAATTTACCACACTTAGAACTGCTGAGTTACACTGGTGACTGGGAAGAGCCCATTGAATTGGTGAGGAAGTGGCCTCGAGATGCAGTCAGATAGGCTGAACTCAGAAAAGCAATCATTCCACTCACGTAAGTCCTTGGGAACAAATGAGGATCCATCATGAGGCACAGAACTGAGTATTGTTTCATCAGTCAGCAGATTGTATATTGGGTGCCTGCTGCATACAAGGAATTTGGGCCTTACGCAGGGACCTAAGTCATAGCTCCTTGATGTAGGGGGCCAGAGAGAGTCCATAAAAAAAATCACAGCTGACAGAGCAGATAAGCAGTGTCCCCATGCAGAGGGATGAGCTCAGCTCAGGAGGGTGAGGAGCTGAGGCAGGTGAGCAGATTGCAGGTACAGGGCAGCAGATAGCCGAGTGGCTGAGGGGCCAGGCCTTGGGTGGCCAAAAACTCCTCATCTGTGCTCTGGAAGACCAGGTATGGTGCCATGTGAAGTAGGGTGAGGAGTCTTGACCACCTGAGGAAGGGCTGCTGACCTGGGCCAGGTTGGGGTGGGTCTAGAGAGGTTGCACAGTCCTGACCCAGGGTTTGTGGGCTGTGAGTGGAAGGGAAGAGACTAAGATAGCTCCCCAGCTGTTGCCCTACACTCCAGAGTGGTGAGGCAGCGCTGGTGGGTAAGGGGCTGGACTAGGTCCTCTGCAGGGCTCCCAAGGAGACAGTGAGGGGCATGACCAGAGCCCAGGGCTTGGCCACGGAAGAATCAGGGAATCCTCAGTATATAGCTGGAGAATCTGGCCCTGAACCCTGGGGAAGTTCAAGGGTGGAGGGTGGGGGTACTGGGAGGAGTAGCAGAAGCCAGGCTGAGGCAGAGGGGCCCTGGACACCTAGGGAAGTGTCCTGTGTCATGAGGTACCAATGAGCTGCACTGATGACGTCTGAGACCTGGGTAATGTGCTGGTCACTGAAGCCTTGCAGAGAGGAGTCCTGTTGCCATGGTAGCATGCAATCTGGGTGGGAGGAGTCTGGGAGGCTGTGCAGCTTGTCTAATTCAGGGAGCTCCTGTGTAGGGTGTGTAGTGGGAGGGAGTCAGGGCAGGCTGCTTCTGCTTGTTTAAGGTGAGTTACACACAGGAAAGCATGCTGAGCATGCTGCACTGTGGCTTCTGACTCCTTCTTTCTCTCTATACAGAGGAGTACACTGGCCACTTCCCCCGGGTAGTTAGTAGATGCCAGGTTCAGGCCTACCCGAAGCCCACACCCCTGGGATCTGTGCTCTTTCCTAAGCTATTTGCCTTCTTTAAAATGGTGATTGCAATGACAGTCACTACAGGAAACATCCAGGTGCCTGCACCTTGAAAGGGAGCAAGTAGCTGTCATCATCTGCCAGGCACCCTGAGGGGCCAGCAAGTGCCCAGGGGACAGAGTCCACAGGCATGTGTGGAGCCACCCTGGGGGCCAAAGGGGAAACCTGCCCGTCTCTGCAGGCTGTGCCTCCTCAGTGAATGCAGTGGTGGGGTACAGCCAGAGCTGGGGTCTGGGGCAGCTGTTAGGCCTTGTCTGGTGAGACTTTGCTGAGGTTATCTCCTGGACCCTTGCTGAGACTGACTTGGAGGAAGGTGTTCACAGCACGCAGCAGACATCTCACTGAGCCCCTGTACCCGCCCAGACAAGCGTGTGGCCTCCTGGAGTACTGTGTTTGTGTGTGACTTAGACCCTCACACAGAGAAGAAATGGGGCACCGAACATCTCCTTCTACTGGAGAAAGTGATCAGGAAGTAGTGATCCCCTTCATCCCACTGGCTCTCTGCCAGGTAGGGCTCTCTTCCCCAAGTAGGGAAATGAGCACAATGCATTCTGAAGGGTGTCTGTGCAGGAAATCTGGGGGAGCTCATGGTAGCTCCTTTCACATGCCCCCTGTAGATTCTGGACGCACCTGTCCTTGGGGTTCCACCAAAAACTTAGCGTTCTTACCTACTGTCTGGGCCCTCACTTTTCCTGGCATACGGTATGGGTATGGATGAATGAATGGCTCAGCAGCAGATGATAACCTTGGGGGTAAGGAGTGCCCTGTGAGACAGCACTGTAGGGTGACCCTGGAGCACCCTGGGTGGAAAGAGAACCAGCTTGCCCCACCACTCGGTGGAGGCTCTTCTGGCTGCTTCCCCTGCCCAGGGTGTCTCCCTTGTTTGGTTCTCTCTATGACAGACAGTCCCAACTCACCCCTTGGAAGGGTTGGGTTTCTTTGGCACCAAGGATGGACCCGGGACTCACAAGGCAGATAGGGACTGACCATGGTGCTAAGCCCCTTTAATGTGCAGCAAATCAGTCTCCAGCTGTGGTGCAGTTATGGCAGCCACAGGGCAGGATGCAGTGGTGGGCCAAACACAGAGGTGGGACAAGGTCTCTGTGCCCCCGTGACTTCTCGCAGAGAGCAATCAACATGGAAATGATAACAGTGGAAGATAACTGTGTGACAGGCCCACTCCTTTAAAAGCACTCAGCATGTATGAGCACATCAGGCCACGGTCCCTGTGGGCAGAATTCCTGAGTCTACCTGTGCACCCTGCCTCCTCAGGAAGGGACCCCAGCCAGTGCAGCAAGTTCTCTGTTGGACTGTATGACCTTGTCTGGAAACATTAGGGTGCAGGGCTTGGTGCTGTGGGCACCTAGTGGATGAACGCCAAGGATACCATCGCCCAACACAGCATTATAAGGAGCAGAGAAGCCCTGCAGTAGCCTCTAGCTGCCAATTGAAGGATGAGGAATGCTATGGGGCTTTTTTTTTTTCCTGTTCTGGGAGGTACCAGGGTATCAATTCTATACAACCTAAGCAAATTCTCTGCTGCTGAGCCACACCCAAATCATAAGACTTCTTGTAAAATTTTCAAGTGTATATAGAGGTAGAAGGTATGAAATGATGAACCCACATGTGCCTGACCCCAGCCTCAACAACCCTCAATCCCCAGTCAGTGCTGTCTGGGATACACCCCACCCTTAACTCTCCCCTGGTTATTCAGAAGCACATCTCAGACTTTGTGTGATTTTGTCTGTGAAGTTTATATGTGTCTTTAAAGATAAATACTGTTTAAAAACATGGCCACTATATGTATTTTTTTTAACACCTAAAAAAGGACAGTAGTAAGTCATGTCATGTCCACAGAGGTCAGGCCATGTCCTAAGCCTTGGCCCCAACACCTGCTTCTCCCCACAGGCCTCCTGTATTCCAGCAGCCTGTCATCTTTCTGGGAGCAGATGTCACTCACCCACCTGCTGGGGATGGGAAGAAGCCTTCAATTGCCGCAGTGAGTGTGTCCACACTGTCCTCGGGGCACCCTGTTTGGTGACATGCTGCCTGGCAGGAGCCTCAGCTGTCTGTGCTCCCTTTGCAACAACATGGGCTGGCTTTCTTCCTGAAAGGCATAGTGTTTTGCTCATTTGGTGAGATCTGGGCGACGTGGCAAACAGGAGATTGCGGGGACACTGAGGATGGCATGAAATAGGCTCTAAGAAGCTACATGAATTGAGTGGCTTAACCCATCCACAAAGTGTGTAGACCAGCTTCAGCCAAGACTGTGTGATGCAGTCTGGGTGGGAACAGCAGCCTCAGGTCTCCCAGGGTCCAGCATGGAGCTCAGTGCTTCCTGTTCAGCCTCTGTCCATTTGGGCCTCAGTTTCACTGCTCAGCTGCCACACTAGTTGTTTGCAACAGGGTTCAGTGTCACCATTGCAGTGGTCTTTTATCTAAAGGAGTGAATCAAACCACACCCTGCTAACAGTGAAGTTTTTAGACTTTGGAATACAAGGTGCTAAGGGTGTCAACCTGAGTCCCCTTGCCTCTTCATTGATTGAGTGAGTGACTGAGTGAGTGGTTTTACTGGAGAGCAAACCCAGGAGTGCTCCATTACTGAGGTACATTCCTATTCCTGTCTGTCTGTCTGTCTATCTGTCTATCTATCTATTTATTTACAAGGTCTCTGACTTGTCCAGCCTGAGCACAAACTTGAAATCCTCCAGTCCCATCCTTCCTCAGTGCTAAGATTAAAGGTGTATGTTGCCACGCACGGCTCCCCAGGTGGAGGATGGGTGGCTAAGCAAATGGAAGAAAGCATGAAGCTTTTTTTTTTTTTTTTAATTCTGGTCATTTGTGTGAAACCACCTAGGACCCACCCCACGAATGCCTTTTTGCATGTTCCCTGGCCTCCCTGGCAGATGTTCCTCAGAAGCACTGGGCTGCAGGGTAGAAAATGGGACCCACAGGCTCTGTACATGGGGACCTGCCAGGCTGGCATATAGTCGGTGCTGAGAAAATGCTTGTATCACTGTATGATCAGTCTGAAGGGTTGTGAACATAAAGAGAACCAAATAGGTTGCCCTTGGTGGAAGAAAACTACCATGTGTATTGTGTGCTTATGTGTACAAACACACATGGATTGTGCTCAGATGTTACTCAGGGCCACGCTTCCTTTTATGGAATCAACACCAAGTAAGGCAGCTCCTGCCACTTGGCCTCATAGTTCCAGCCCCAGCACATACTGTATGAACAACTTTCTCACTTTTCCAAGTATCTCTGCCTTTGATCAGGAAGGGTAGCTCAGCAGACCAGAAACACCTCAAGGTAGCTGTGTTCTGGTCTGTAGAGCTGGAAGTCAGGACTCTGGCATCTTCAGCTAGGTCAGCGCACAGCTGGGTGGCTCTAAAGCACTGGCATGTGCTCTTGTCATCTTCCTGCCTTAATAACTCCTGTTACCTTTTGTTTTCTTGGAGAAATGCTATGTAGTGTTGAATCTGCTTCTGGATTTTAGAGTCGTAAGACTCTAAAACTTTCCAAGCTTTCAAAAAACAGAAACCTGTGTGTTTATCTCCACAGTTCTCAATAGGAACAGATTTCTGTGTGTTTAATTATTTCTGTTCATACTAACTTGAAACACCTCAAGGTTTATCTATTTTCACTTCGTTTGGGAGAAAACTTATAGCCCCAGGCAAGACAGAGGCCTTGGAGTCTGGGAGAATGCCTCAGGAGAAGAAGCCCCTCCTGTAAGGTTTCCAGGGAAGTAGGCCTCTACCCAGAAGTGGAGGGGCAGCCTTGGAGTGGCTGGTCATGGTCCTCACTGGACTGAGTATCGCTGTGCCTTGTACTCTTTCCTCTCCTGACCAAGAAACCCAGAGGCCTCTTGGACTCCCTCTTTTCACTCACTTTCCTCTCTGCACTCTGTCTGATCGACCCTTCAGACCACAGCTCACAGGCCCAGCTTGCCTTCAGGTCAGCCCACCCTCCTAAGGTCAAAATGGGTGAGGGGTTGCTGTGTTTACTATGCAGATGACTCTGTGGGAAAGCAGTTGCCTTGAAAAAAACCAGAGACTCTCACTGGTTGCTTTCTTTGGACAGATTAATTCGACCATCTTTGGTCACAAGCAGAATAAAGTTCTCTGAGTAATCACCTATTTTTACAGTGTACCGTAAGGCAAGCTTTTGTTCTTTGGAATGTATAAGCAAGCACTCTTGCCAAACATTTAGGGAAAGTAAAGAAGCTAGTTATCCCAACTCTGCCACCATGGGTCCAATTGAGACACCTCTGCCCATCTGCAGGCTACTGTCTGTCTAGCATGTGCCCAGGATGTGAAGCCCCTAGGCGCCCTTGCAGGTGCTCATTGCATGTTCCTGCAGGTCGTGGGCAGCATGGATGCACACCCCAACCGCTACTGTGCCACTGTGCGTGTACAGCAGCACCGGCAGGAGATCATCCAGGACCTGGCTGCCATGGTGCGTGAGCTCCTCATCCAGTTCTACAAGTCCACACGCTTCAAGCCCACCCGCATCATCTTCTACCGCGACGGTGTCTCTGAGGGCCAGTTCCAGCAGGTTGGTTACCTTTTCTCTGAGCATGCTTTTTGTCCTCAGATGCCTGTGATTTGCCTGATTGTGTGGCACCATCACTCCATCCACTTACTATTGCAAATATAGATGCAGTTTGTTTGCTGCCAGGGCTGACCTGGTCATAGTAAATAGGCGGGATCTGGTGGAGGCTGTGAAACTCGGTTTTTTCCAGGCCAGGATGCAGAGGCAGGACGGATCTGGGTATGAGCTTATCCCCATCTGGGCACTGGGGACATGAGAGTAAGGATCCAGCCAGGCCAGTTGCAAATTCAGCAGCACAGTAAGCTGTCCAAGTGTTCTAGAAGTCCAAGCTTTAGCTCAAGGTCTGGTGAGCTTTCATGGTAAGATCTTTGGGGGACAGAGACCTTGTGTCTGGGAGTCTTCTGTCTGCAGTGTAAACGGGGGGCAGAAGCCAGGAGAACTGTGCATGGGCCGGAGAGGACTGGGGGCTCTTTGAAGGCAGCATCCACAAACCTGGCATGATGGATCCGGAAGGTAGGAGAGTTACTGAATGTGGGAGAGATTTCTGATTTCTGGTGCTTATAGATAGCCTCCCCTGAAGGCTCCAGTTGACCCCATTCTACCACATTCTCTTTGACAGTACAGTGGCATAGTCCACTGCCAAGGGGAAAGGGGAGCTCTTTGGTCTTTGCAGCAGCCCCTATCAGGGTACCTTGGGGTGGTAACAGGTTCACCTTGTCCTGGAGCTCTGCTCTCCTCAGTGGCTTGGGACTGACTCTACTCTGCCTCTCCCCACTCCATGGAGATGCTTCTGGGAGAAGTGGAAGCAGTGAAGGTAGCTGTAAGACTTAGCAGCCACACCCAGTGCTGAGGGAGCGGAGCAGAACAGCATCCTTACTAGCTACCTGTGTTATTGCAGAGGCCTGAGGTGTTCAAGAACCCAGTAGCCCTGGGATAAGGTATAGCTTAGCAGTAAAGCATTTGCCTACCATATACGAGATCCTGGGTTCAATATCCAGTACCACCACCAGCAAAAAAAAAAAAACTACTCCTTTGCTGGGGAGGTAGTTCAGCAGCACAGTGCCTGCCTGGCAAGTGTAAAGCCCTGAGTTTGATTCCTGATACCAAAGGAGAAAAAAAAGAATTCCACTTGCCTTGATACCAGGCTGATGGGATATGACCAGGCACCCTGCCAGATGTGCCTTCCTGGCTCAGAGTCGGAGCAGTGGTATCATTCTGAGACCACAGTCCTCTGGGAGAGGAACAAACAACTGCTCCTTGACCACCAGGCCTTTCCTAGCCTGAGCCTCTGGTTCTGAGTTTCTGTGGGAGCCTGGGCTGGCAGCTCCTGTGCTGTGTACCCATGGCCCAGAGTCCCATTTGTGCTGCCGGCCCCAGCTACCTCTCAGTAACATTTTCTGGGCTTCTTGGCTAGAAGGTGCTCCCCTCTGACCTCCCAATCCTTTCATTTTGTACCACAAAGCCCTCTTCTCTGGTAGAGAGGAGCTATCTGCCTTACAAAATTCCCACAGCTATTTTCTGCATAGCCGTCAAGACTTTTATTTTTTGTATTGAGGATTGAATCCAGGACCTTTGCCCTGAGCTACATCTCTAAGCCCCTTTTTTGAGACAGGATCTTGCTACATCACTAAATTGTCAAAGCTAGGTTTGAACTTGCAGTACTCCCAAAGAACTGTGATTACAGACATTGTCACACAATAATTGGGACTGTTACTAAATATCTAAAGTGCAGCCAGGCACCAGTCTACAAGTCCCAGCACTGGTGACACTCAGGCAGGCAGATTGCCTGGGCAACACAATGAGATTTTGTCTCAAAACAACAACAAAACTCTATAAAGTGCCTGATAGTTATGTACAGAATGTCTCACACATCACTGTTCATCTTCTTGCAGAGGCTTTGAGGCATAATGTTTGCCTTTTATATGTATAAAGACTGAGGATCAGAATGTGTGTTTCCAAAGGTCATGTGGCCAGTTGGTAGCAGAGCTGGGATTTGAGCTCAGGTCTAAACTCTCATTCAGTGTCTTCCCCAGTAGAGCTCTCTCTTTTCCATGAAGAACAAAAGAACAAAATTAAGCTTAATGAGCAGCTGAATGGATTAATGCCTGAGAGTCCCCCACACTGCCTTATTCCTCCGTTGATGCCATTTCCTGGGAACATTCTAGGGGCTGTGGCCAAGCAAGTATAAACCATTTGACCATGGAACTTGGGTGCCATTTGCTGTATATACAGAGCAGAACATGGGCTCAAAAGGGCAGAGTCATATGTACCCATAGTGCTAGAGCCACAGTGTTTATCAGATGTTGCATACTGTTGAGGTGTTTGTTTTCAGGTAGGAGAGGCCTTGGAAGCACAAAGCCTTGATGCCTGTCCTTTCTCCCCCCTCGTTCCTGCAGGTCCTACATCATGAGCTGCTGGCCATCCGTGAGGCTTGCATTAAGCTGGAGAAGGACTACCAGCCGGGGATCACGTTCATCGTAGTGCAGAAGAGGCACCATACACGGCTCTTCTGCACTGACAAGAATGAGCGGGTGAGCTCCTAGTACTTGGACTATGTGGCCCATGGCAGACACTCAGAGCTACGGCCACACATTCTGGGGAAATGCTGGCCTCCCAAAGGATTCATGGGGACACCACCTCAGATGTCTAGGAAGGGACCTCTGAGTGGTGAGAAATCATTTATCTGATAAATTACCACAACAGATGGCTCTGAGAAGGAGCTAGTTGGAAACCATGGCAGTGGACTATGCCACTGTACTGTCAAAGAGAATGTGGTAGAGTGGGGTCAACTGGAGCCTTCAGGGGAGGCTATCTATAAGCACCAGAAATCAGTTCAGTGATCTCTAGCAACTGAGAATTCTCCACAGTTGAAGAAAAATAGTCCTTGGGCCAGAAGTGGTTTCTGTGCTCCTGACAGAATGCCTTGTCCCTAGCTGACATCTAAGCAGCTGCTGAAGAAGATGATACCTGGAAGGGCGAGGCCTTGTCTGACACCTGCAGACTGCAAGCATGGCGCAGTGGGCTGAGATCTATTCAGCTGGGCTCCCTACTGCCCTCTACCCCGCTACACATTTTTTTTTTTGTCAAGAGTCTTGCTCTCTAGTCCAAGCTTGCCATGAACTCACTATGGAGCCCAGCTGGCCTCAAACTTGGGGCAAGCTTCTCCCTCAGCCTCCTGAATGCTGGGATTACAGGCGTTTACCACCATGCCCAGCAAATGCACGAATACTTTTGCATAAATAGAAGACAAAGCAGAAGTTAAATGTTATGGTGAGAAAAAGGGATACTTTGTCACAGTAAGACGAATGATTCCACAAGACTCGGCAGCTATGATCTTGAATATACCCAACACCATGACCTAATGAGAGGAAATAAAATAAAAACAAAGAAAAGCTGACAGAATTTCAGAAATCGCCAGACGGATATGTTAACACATCCCAATGAGAAATTGAATCTGGCAAAAATATGTGAAAAATAAAAATTGAAGGGTGAAATCCATAAGCCAGATCTAATAGACTCCTGCATATCAACTGCTGAGATCACATGAAAGGGTAATTAAAACCAGCCTTCTACGAGGACAGAGGAAGTCTCAGGATACTTTCAAACTTCAGACTTACATAAACCATACATTTTGATCATAATACAATTAAATATTAAGTCAACGGTAGAAATAAAGTTTAAGAACCTTGAAACTTTTAATTCATTTCTAAGTACCTCAGGCATTAAGTGTGATGAGAATAGAAATTGCACTGTACTCAGAACCAAACAAAACTCAGAGAATGCTGTATGGAACCACATGCAAACATCTAAGATGGCACTTTGGTGCGTTAGATACATTTGTTGTAAAACAAGAATAAGAACAGTCACAGCCTGCAGGTAGGAAGGAAGGGTGGAAAGAAGAACCCAAGTCTCCAGGAATAGAGGGGATGCTGTGCAGTGCTGGGCTTGGCCCCTGCCCCCTCTTCAGCCCCTAGGTCTCAGCCACCAGGAGGCAAGAGGGTTCTCAAGGCTGCTTCTACCTGGTGACATCCACACCCATCTTCCCCTTCTCAGCATGCAAATAATGGAGTAGAAAAGAAGTAAGAAAGGAAATTAAAGTCAAAACCTACTTCCCAGAAAACAGATTGAGCAAGGCTCTGCAGGAACAAAAGAAGACACTCACATCAGCATAAGGAGCCAAACAGAGGCTATTGCTGCCAAAAGGATGGTGTTATTTACATCATATGGAAGATTGTTAGCAACTTAATGCAGATAAATTTGGAAACTTGTGTGAAACAAGTATATACAAATGAATGTTGTGGAATTATATAAATTTTCAAAATCAGCTCAGGAGGATAATCCAGTAATCAAAGTCTCCCACCCCAAAAGGCATTGGGCCCTGACAGTTTCATAGGTTTGTTTCCCCAAACCTTCAGCAGTAGATTATCTCACAGTGTGGCAGGAGAATAGAAAGAGGGAAGCTACTTTTTAGTCTGGAGCTTTGTTACAGGCAGGTTTCATCAAACCTTTAAGGAATCATCTTGTAAAAAGTTTCAGAGATTGGGAAAGGGGGAGGAATTGTTAACTCACATTATGAAGATAATCTGTTAGTACTAAATGTTGGGAGGGATGTTTTCTTTTTATTGGGCTTAAGGGTACAGGGTCTGGAACCAAGTGGCCTGGGCTCAAACCTACCCTCTGCATATACTGGCTGCTTGACCATAAACTGTCACTGAGCCTCTTTCTGCCTCCCTGTACTACCACCCACTAGAACAAGGGTCTCGGGAAGACTGAGTTAACACATGTAAAGCACTTGACCCAGTTCCTGGCACAGAGTAAGTACATTATTACGAAGGTAGCTTTCATACACAGTTGATAGGAGTACAAACTGATAATCAGGGCCAGTGGTATGCAACTCAGTGGCTCACTGCAGCACATGGTCCTGAGTTCGATTCCCAGTACCAAAAAGAAAAAAAAACAACTGGTAACCAACATGTACCACAGTTTGGCACTTCTACTTACCTATCCTGGAGAAACTCACATGACTAAGGACGTGTATGTAAGAATAGCCAGGCACAGGAGTGTGCACCTGTAGTTCCAGCATCTTAAGAAGCTGAGGCAGAAGGATCACTTGAACCCAGAAGTTCAAGACCCCATCTCAAGAAGAATAATTACTATTTATGGCACTATTGTTATAATAGGAAAGAAAAATAAAAATTACCTGTCAAGCAACAGGAAAAATGGTTTGCTCTATTTGTATATTAGCATTCATTTCTGCAAAGGAAATTAAGAAATTACATTAAATAGATATGCCTCAAAATTCTAAAACTGAGCAAAACAAGTACAATATGCAGTTTTCTGATCCATAAAACATTAAAACACAATGCTAGTGGATTCTTGAATATGTATTTAAAATATAAAAGTAGGGCTGGGGATATAGCTCAGCGGCACAAGCACTTGCCTGGCAAGCAAAAGGTCCTGAGTTCGATTCTCAGTACCAAAAAACGTACAGGTTGGGTATTCCTTATGTGAAGTGTTACAGATTTTTGACTTTTAGTATTTGCGCATACATTATGAAGTATCTTGAGAATGGGAGCTAAGTCTAAACAAAAAATCCATTAATGTTTTATATACTCACACACATAACCTGAAAGTAATTTTATACAATGTTTCTAGTAAATCTGTGATTTGACGTTGGCCTGTCACATGAGGTCACACTTGTGGCATCATGTGGTGCTCAAAAAGTTTCATATTTTGGAGCATTTCAGATTTCACGTTTGGATTTCCCGATTAGGGCCATTCAACTCAGCGTGTCTGTGCAGGAAGAATAAAGTCTACATCTGAGATTGCACCAGGGAAGGCCAAGGGGAGGTAGGATCTAAGAAAGATATCTGAAAATTAACTGGGTGTGGTGACACACACCTGTAGGCCTAGAAGTCTGGGTGGGAGGCTGAGACAGGAAAGCCTAGCCTTGGAAATAATAATAACTGTGGCCCGGTAGGACTTCAGTTGTTCATACTTGTTAGGTGTTAGCATTTTCCCGCTGAGCCAATATACTAGCCAATGTAAAGACTTCCCTGTGGCAGTCTGACCCTGAAGGTGATGTGGTACTAGCTCACTTCTGCCTACTGGGCCCTGCCGGTCCTGTGACTAATGAGGTTCCTGTGTTGCTGCAGGTTGGGAAGAGTGGGAACATTCCAGCAGGCACAACGGTGGACACGAAAATCACCCACCCAACAGAGTTTGACTTCTACCTGTGTAGTCACGCTGGCATCCAGGTAGGGATGGAGGCCTGTGTGGACAGTTCCAGGTGTCCACATGCATGAAAATCCCCTCATGCTCTGTGGCCAGAGCCTACAGCCCATTTGGGTATCCTGAGAGTGATTATCATGCTTCAGAGGGTGAAGGTTTTCACACCGTTTCTTGGTGCAGATCACTTGTGCGCGTGCCTTCAGGGCTGGCATACTTGCTGTATGAGGCTGCAGTACTTCAGCCTTTGTCCCCTCATGCCATAGCCCTTTGCTGGCTTCCCTCCTGGTGAGGGGACCCTTTCCCTCCAGGACTTCTGGCTTCTTTTCTGCCTGGGAACTTTCTAACATGGGAACTTCTTTATGGTGTGGAAGGGCCTGGGAGGGCCCATGCTCCATGACTTTGGGTTCTCTCACTTCAAACAGTGTCTCACCTCTCTGGTAGCCACCAGCTAAGTGCAGGGATGTGTGCAGTGGTTTGTCAGGGTGAGAGCACTCTACCACTTGTCAGTTGCCCAGGGCTTCAATGCTGGACAAGGCTCTAAACTGAAGGACCTGGGGCCAGGGAGTGGCTGCCTGTGGTGTCAACTGCTGGGGCTGCCCTGGGTAGAGTAATCAAACAAGGGGAGTAAACTCCCCTTTGTGTTTAAAAAGATTTCAAGCAAAAAAAAAAAAAAAAAAAACTTGTGTAAAGTGATATTCATGTTCAGGCTATTGTTTTAAAATGTTATTTTCATATATAAAGCTTTTATTGGAGGTTGTTTTTGCTATTATAAATAAAACACGGTACAGCACCTGATCCATCCAGAAGATGTTTTCCTCAATAGTCATTTTTTAAAAATACCTTTTGATTTTTAATTGATGTATAAGGTACACATTTAGGGGTTAAGGGTGTGTGGTGTGATTTTTTTTTTTTTTTTTTGTATATATATATATACTCATAGATGTTTATCATATATGTGTGTATTATATATCCATCATAGGTGTATATCTGTATATTTGTCAATCTTTGTTTTAAAAAAGAAAAGGAAATGACAGCTGGAAACTAAGGTACATAGTTACCATATAGGGTGAGAGGAGCAGGGCAAAGGGAAAGGAGACTTCTGGACACCTGCCTACAGTTTTGTCTATATGTTGGAAAAGAAAAAGATAAAAAAGCTCTCATTTTCCTAATGTGTATCCACACTCCTTATAATTGTACCCCTCCACCCTCACCATCCTGTGTGGCACTCACTAGCTGTTGGACTCTGTCAGGTCACCTTCAACCTGTAGAATCCCTTCAAACCAGAGTGGCTCTCAGAAGAGACTACTCTTGCTGAAGCATGACAGTATCTCCATCCCCTTGTCTGGAGGGATGTGCAGGTTGGAGGTAATGTATGTGTACAGTGTATGATGACCTCAAACATTTTTCATTTCTTTGTATTTGGAACCTTCAGTATCCTCTCTGCTAGCTATTTGGAATTATGCCCACCTTTAATAATTGCTTTACGTCTGTTCCGATTTTCCTGCATGTACAGTACTTTATAAATATGGAGACTTTAAGATAGATTGTCCTGATAAGTTTTTCATAATAATATAAGCATCGCTTTTTATCATTAAATATTTTTCCACAGTATTCTTTGTAAAGATTTTACAGTGAGTCTGACTGATACTGTGATCTGCTTTTTAGGGGACAAGCAGGCCTTCTCACTACCATGTCCTTTGGGATGACAATCGATTTTCTTCTGATGAGCTGCAGATTCTGACCTACCAGTTGTGTCACACCTATGTGCGCTGTACACGCTCTGTGTCCATCCCTGCACCAGCCTACTATGCTCACCTGGTGGCCTTCCGAGCCAGGTACCACCTGGTGGATAAGGAACACGACAGGTGAGTGTTGTACCTGGCTGGAGGTTACTGTTAGGGTTGTTTCTGACAGGGTTGGCAGCTGCTTTACCAAATGAGGAATTGCTAGAGCTGATATTCCTGAGTGTTGATGCTTTTATGGTGGCTGGAGACACACTGCTCCCCTCCCTAGGTATCTGAGGCATTATCCTCACTCACTCATCAAACAAAGGCTGTGTTCTCTCTCCCCCTCCTTCCTGTGTCCCTGCAGTGCTGAGGGAAGCCATACCTCTGGGCAGAGCAACGGGCGAGACCACCAAGCATTGGCCAAGGCGGTCCAGGTCCATCAGGACACACTGCGCACCATGTACTTTGCTTGACATGTTCTAGTGTTTAGCGATTGTGCACACCAAGTTGGATTCACATGAGACCAGCTACACTCAGACCAACAGACGCCCAGCCCTTCCGTGACAGCCAGCATCGAACATGAAACGTCATCGATTTTATTAGATTCTCCATTTTCCAGAATGCCTTCCGTCCCAGATTTCAAACTTGGATTTTGAACTGCAGACCTGTATGAGACCCCATTGTCGTAGGAAATATGGTTTGCCAAAATCTATAAGCTGCTTATTAAAGTAGAACCCCGTGTTTCCTAAAAATCTCCTAAAACCAGTCTATGAACTCAGGGCTTTAAAACATTTTTAATTTATTTGATCATTCAATTTACTTGTTTTTAATGCATGATTCTTTATGAAATTGATGGGCTCAAACTAGCTGTGAATGTTCTCCGAGAGTGAAAGCAACACAAACACGATTGTGGTTTTAAAGCCTTGAACATTTTGATGTTGTCACTAATGTTGATCCCTGCGATGCTGTGTGCTCCTGGCATGGCTGCACAAGCTCCACAGCCCCAAGGCCAGGTGGCCATGCGAGGCAGCCATGGGCATGTCTCACCATGCCACTGCCTGCCTCACATGGCCTCAGCAAAGGAGCAGTGGCAGGTAGGCCATGTGTGTTTACAGCAGTGACAGGTCAAGAGACTGGCAGACAAGTGCCATTTTAATAAAAATTTATTTAAAAGAAAAAGACAATATACTGACAGTCTAATCATAAGATTTGTTCTATAGGACTGTGACATTTATTTTCCAAAGTTTCTAAAGAATACGGGTCTGTGGTGATAAATACAGTACAATCCTTTTTCACTGTTATGTCTTTAATGTAAGAGAAAAATATATATATATCTGGTTTGCAGTATTAATGTGATAGATAGATGCTGTTTTCCTTTTGTTGACTACGGGGTGCTTCATGTGACCTATTTCGCATATCAGGAGTGTTTGGAGCCTGGAGATGGGCCACCTCTAGTGGCTCTTAGTGCTTAAGTACAGGAATATGCAACTGACTTCATGTGATGCGATCCTCCTCCCCTGTGGACTCTGTAGCCTATACCTCTGGGAGGGACAGTGTGCCCACCAGTCACCACCCTCCTGCCACCTTGTCCCCATGTGTCACTCAGCTGATGAAGCACAAATGGAATTTATTCTTCTATCGCTGGGAAACAAGTTCATGTGTCGGAGTGCACTTCTCTCGGTGTGCAGTTTTGGTGGGCAAGCTTCATAGGATCTATGCACTGAAACCAAGAGAGCTGCCAGTGGCTGAGAGGCCCAAGGCAAGCAACAGAGGGCAGAGACTGCTTGGTTAGGATTTGCATTTGGGGCCCCAGATGGGGTTTACCTATCTAGAAACCGTTGCACTAAGAGTGACACCATGGACGATGTTAAAGGATAACAATTGCTGTTTGTGCTGAATGAGCTTTTGGTCCTTGAATACAATTTGAGTAAGAATCAGATCCATGTTCTACTTAGAAGTTCAAAAGGAAGGAAATGAGCCTTCCCCTGTGCTGCTTTGTGCTCTATAGGTTTCCTCTCTCCCTGCTGATGTCCCCTCCCCAGCCCTGTGTGACATTACCTCTGGCACTGTGGTAGAGTGAGGGTCCCAAAGGTGGTGCCTAAGGCTAGAATAGGCACCCACCTCTGTCCCCCTGTCCCCATCATTGACCTGCTTTGGACGTGGTGGGAAGGCCCAAGAGCCCCTGGCCCAGTGGTCCCAACACTGGGCCTAGACTGGTGGCAGTGACAAGGGGTAGCTGTGATCTGTGAAGATGTGTACTCCGAGTGGAGTGTGTGTCTGTGTGTGCATGTAGGTGTCTTACTAATGACATTAGTCTCTTCTTGCTGTATCTTTTTTTTTCTACTCTTTAAGTGACAGCAGCCCCCGCATTAAGAAGCACTGCAGCTGCCTGTTGTCTTTTTGGCAAATGGCACTTTCTCCTGTTTCCAGAAGGGCACAAATATACTGAGCTTAGCTCACCAGGCACATTGAAGCTGAAGAGGGGACTCTTCTGACTAGTCAGTTTTCAGAATCTGAAATTAGGTTAGTTTCAGCCATTCTTAGAGCCATCTGCAACCATGTGTCTCTACCCCCAAAAACAGGATTTCAGTCTTCGGGGATTGTGGGTCTTGTCAATGCAAATTCCTGGGCCACTGGGCATCTGCATTTTAAACCATCACTTGCAGCTCTGGTGTAGCTCTTGAGGTTTACTCAGGCTATCCACCTGGGGCACCAGGGGGCCAGCTGGGAGGACCCCCTCAGCAAAGCAAAGAGGCCTTGAGCGAGCTAAGGCCTAAGGAAGAATGCAGGCTGACAGAAAATTAGACCGATAGGGTTTTTGTTTTGTTTTTCCATTTTGAAGTGTACGTTTTCTTTTTAGTGGGCCAAAGTACTTTAAGAAGTGTACTTTTTATAGCCCTATGCTCATTTTATAAGCTTTTAATACTAAAAACATTAACAGACCAAATGTCTCCACTTGAGTTAGCTACATACCTTTGTACATGTCTGACGATTCACTTTAAATGGCTGTAGTTACAATTTCTCAGGTAAATAATTGTTTTCCTAATTTCTACCAATGCCTCCATTACTAGCATACGTTTTGAGACAGTGCAAAACCTCAGAATACAGTAAGATAAGTCCAAGCCCTGTTCACAGAAGCTACAAGGGCACTTGCGTCTCCTTGGACTGTGGCTGCCAGGTTCCCCAGTGGCTCCTCCTTGGTGCGCCTCCCACAGTGCCGCCTGTTTAGGATTGAGACTTGCCCATTTGCTGGCTTTGTTCCCACCCCGCTGTTAAGTAAGGTGTGCCTTGCTTTAAGCAAACTGAATGTGAAAATTATGATGTAGAAGTCTGGATCCATTTAAAAGAAAAGCTAGAGTTTATCTCTTTAAAAGAGATCTCCCAATTAGATTTCCATAGTGGGACTCTTCTAGTATATTTAAAAATATTCATTTTTTAAAAACATTACTGAACTCTCATCCTCTTACCACTGTTCGTTACACTCAGCAGTTCTCCCTGTGAGAACTTAGAAATGCAAGCTCAGGGGAGCCATTGGTAGTTCCTGTTACTTGCATATTGTAAGCTCACGTTTTCCTATTTCAGATAAATTTTGTAAAACTGAGTGTATCTGTTCTTAAGAAAGGGATGTTTTGGTTTTGCCTTTGCTTTCTGGTTCTGAGAAGTCTTTGCACATACTGTTGATACTCCACTTTAGGGTCTGCTTGGTCTCCTTAGGTCAGGTTGTCGTTGGCCATGGCCTCACACTTTCAGTCTGAAGGCCACATGGCCATTGTGCTGGCTTGCTCTGGGAGGGCACTGTCGCAAATGGGGAGTAAGAGTTGAACTTTTCTCAGCTGGCCTAAACACTGCCTGTTATTCCTAATGTTCACCCCCATTACTGAGCAGTCACTAGAGACAGTTTCAGTCCTTGCATTTTATTGTTATATGTTATTTTTATTGTTGTTAAATGCAAATGTTGCTATTTATTTTTTCCTTTCTGCTCTGGTTTGATTTGGCTGATATGGATATTCCAGCGCATGTGGTACCTGATGGATATGGTAGGAATTATTTTACCCAACTTTTATAAATGACGTAATGTTTACCTTCAAGTTTACCGGATGATTTATTTTTGAAAGCCACAAATGTAATTTTTCTGGATGAATTGTTTTTCTTATATATGCAGCAGCAATGTGCTTTTACATTGATCTGCAGGGTGATTTAAATTTTATTTTTACAAGGCAGTTTTTCAGCCAAATTATATATTTGATACAATATGTCAAGGGTAGACCAGCATGCCTCATGCAGCTGGGACACCAGAGTGTCTCCAGGAAGCTTTGGGGCTGAGACAACCTCTCCTGGTTGCTCGTGGTCACTTAGCACTTGGCTTGTCATGGAGCCTTCAGGAACTGGATGTAGTCCATCAGCATGGCTTTTGATCTGTTGGACAGTTACAAGGATTTTCTCATGGGCATTTTCCTGCACCTAAGGCAGTTCCATTAGGAGGCGCTTTAGATATTACCTAATCCAGACAGTGGACAATCCTGGTGGCCCAGACAAGCCATAAGAAACTTTTCTGTGACCTCTTTTTGACTCATCTCTCACGCTCATGAGAAAAGGAATGTACAATAGTAGAAAAGATATTTCCTCAGTGTTCATGCGCCTCACTTGCAGAATGCAAATATTTTATTTATATTTTAAGCCTTTCCCCAAAGTAACTGAGAACATTGTCTCCAGCTGTCATGCCAGCAGTCTCGCTGCTGTGACAAGTTTTGATGTAGACACAGTGTACATGTGACTCTGTCATGGAGTGTCCCTATTACATGCATGCTTGACTCTTTTGTAAGGAAAAGTTTTCAACTCGAAATAATTGCACTGATTTTTTTGACAACTTGTTTTATTATGTCCAACTTTGCATCTGCTGTACTTAAATGATTGTAAATAGATTCATGGTAGCAGAATGATGTGAATACAGGACACTGCTTCGCTTCAGTGACACCACCATGCATTTCAGTATTACACGTTAAGAGTTGTGCAGACCTGCTTTTGTTCTGCTCTTCAGCCTCGTCTCTGAACCATTCATGAAGGACAAACTAGATTCATTTTTCTGTTTTTCTGACAGTAAGTTTCCCATATGTTTGAAAGAGACTGTGCTCTCCTGTTATCTGGAGATTTGAATGTAAGAGGATTAATTGTAAATCTTTGGGACTTCCTGGTCTTGTTCAATATCTTTTTACTTGCCATGGCTCCTGCAAGCATTTCCTTCTAGTCCAAACCAGCCTTTGACATTGCAGATAGGAAGCCTCTGCATGATCTGTGTTAATGGACTGTGGGGTGGTCTCCCTTGCATCCCTTTGGCCAGTGTCAGTTTAAAGCCATGAGGTTACTGTTATGTCAAACTGTCATTATAGCTGTACCTATAGATGCCAGAGAGACCTGATTTGAAACCTAGTGCTGGTCCCTATGCCGTGACACTGCTGGATTTGAAGTTCATGCTCCAGCCCCATGTGTAACTCTGGCCAGACTACCCAGTGTCAGGTACAGAGGGGCTGTCGTGTGTGTGTGTGAATGTCACATCAGTGCCATCATGGTCCCTTACTTTGCTTCTCCTCATATGTTCTGCCATTTTATTGTCTCAAGTGAATGTATTGGCTTAGCCAAATCACTACAGAAGGTGGTTTCTGAATACTTTTTAGTTAAACAAATGCAGATAAAAGCTACCTCTGAATTCTCAATAGATCCATGTTTTCTCATAAGCGTAGCTATCCACACTGAAAATAGCCAAAATGTTGCCTAAATAAACTGAATTGTGAACATCTCTCTATTCAGTTCTGGCTTGAAAATGTGTGTGCCATACTGTGATGGGGGTGGAGGAGCAGCTCCCTCCTTCTCTGCTGTGTCAGTGGACCAGGGACTCCTCAGCACTGTCCAGCTGAGATTCCAGCATTCTGAGAGGCCAGCATGAAAAGAACCAAGGGCTTTTCTGCATGGGCAGTGTGCCATCCCTTGGCTGGCAGGAGTGTCTCTGTGTAGGACCACATGTGTGGTGGAGCCTTGAAATAACCCTGCATCCCTGCTTTCAATTCCCTGTTTAATATAAGAAAGCACTTTTTCCCTCCTACTTACTTCTTCTGAATGGGTTGAAAATTGTTTCCTCTGCTCTCACCTCCCTTTTTATACCCTATATAATCACCAAGGTGCTTCAACACCAACTCTTGTGCAAATAATACATTTAAAATAGTTCCACGATTTCAAAAGGCTTTGGGACTTGAGTTACTGTCACTTCTCACTTAAAAATGAGCTAAGATTTGAAAGCAAAACATTGTGTTCCAATTGAGCACCCTTTGAAAAGACCACAGGGTCTGCAGTTGGAGTAGAAGTTGCCACCAGCAGCTCTGGCGATGGTCTGAGGCTGACTTGCACTAAGTCTGTCTTTTGAAAGTTGGTGCCTCTGACCAACCCTCTTGTGATTATCCACATTTCTGTCAGGAATGTCTTTCCCTCGCACCACACGTGGATCACTCAGTGTTCTCTGGCCTCCTCCACTTCTATCTGTAGGTTCCTTAAGTTTTGTAGTATTTGGAAAGACAGCAGTCACTCCAAATACCTCCTCCGTAAAGGCAGGACAGGTTCACAGCTACAGTTGGCCGGGTGTGTGAAGATGGCTTTGTCCTCTTTCGGATGCCTATCAGACCCTAACTTTAGCCTGGGGGATTTTAATACATCATCCCTTGGAGGAATTGCCTTTAACACTGTGGTTTGGGTTCCATTGCTGTTTACACCATATACCACATGGTGTGCTTTGATTCTGAAAGAGCTAAGTAAGTGTCTTGCAGATTTATTGAAAAGGTTTTCAATTCTGCCATCACACTGTTCTTTACCCTGCAAGCATGGACATTTAGGGTGGGTGTCAGTGATGACCCTGATCTGCTTCAGTGGCTGCTTGGGTCCTCAGGGTTGGCCTTGGGTTTTCAGCCAGAATGCAGTGAGGGCATTTGAGAGGACATTGTGCATCAGGAAGCTGGGTTGGCTCCATTATGTGAACCATTGCACTCAGATCTGCCCATCAGCTGGTTACACTCATATCTCCAGGATCGGGGGGAGTTGCCCACTTGACACTTGTGAAAGATTAAACAGCACTGGAGATTGCTGGTGCTTTTGCTTATAATTTTCTTACTGGTCAAAGTGAATAATTCAGACATATTTGGGTCTTTTAGTGCCCACGGTGGTGTGACTGCAGTATTAAGACCTCACATCACCCCATCCCCTTTTTTGAGGGGTGGAAGAAGGCTGAATTCTTTCCTACTTAAAACCTCCTTGGATTTAGGTAGTTCAGAGTTGAAGCTAAGACACCAAATACTGACTCCCCCCCCCCCCCCCCAAGTGTCTCCAGGAACTAGATGTAAAGGCCCTCATCCAGTTCTTCCGGAATCTTCATGGTCCTTAAAACCTGTGACTTGATCCCCAGAACACCCACACCATCTACCTGCCAGGGGTTCCAACGCAGGCTGCTTGAGGGGGCAGGGCTCCTTGAGGGCAAGACAGGGCAGGCTCTCTGTCCCAAAAAGCAGATAGCCCTAGGCCTTCCTCTGGTCTCTACCAGCACCCACCTGAGTGTGTCTGGAGACCCAATCCCAGACTCTGTGCCTTTCAAGTCTGGTCCTCAGTGTCCTTTGGGAATTCTGTTGGGGCTGTATTTTTAGTGGAAGTGAGCCTGAATCATTCCACAAGTCAGTCACAGGCCTCCTGCCTTGGAAGCTCCTTTCTGCACTCAGCTCCTGACTGCAGTCTATAACACCCTGCAGGCTACAGCTGCCAGGGTACCTGCTGCCAGATCCCTCCATAGTTTCTGTGCTCTGACAAGCGCGTGTATCTCTCCTGGGGTTTCAGGAAACTGGTGCAAGACCATCTCTTAGTCAAGCACTGACCATGACCATCAGCAAAACCTACTGGTTTTGTTCTCTTAGTCACTCAGCAAGAATGTCTTGTAATGGAAGTAGATCGCTTTAAAAGGAGTTGGAATCATGTCTTTGTAAAATGTGTGTGAAGTCCTCAGGTGTAAGGTGCTATTCAGTCCTTATTTTGGAATGCTTTTCATTGTTGTTCTATTTTGTGATTTTCTGTGACTGTCGGGGAAACCGCTTACTTAGGTGTGGTGTCACTTGAGCTGTGCATATAGGACTCCAGCTTCAACATGCCTGAAATGCAGTTTTTATCCCTAAGTTTTTCAAGCCAGGTGTTGAGCAGTTTCTTGGCCAGTGTCTAATTTAAAACGACCCCTCCCTATCAAGGGATGATTTTGTTGGTTTAAAGTGGGGGGGAGAAATCCAGCATATTTATTTTTAAATAGACATATAGAAAAGGCCTTTCCCTCCCAGAGTCACTGGCTGCAGAGGGATAATGCATTAACAGTTTTGGTTACTCCTTCAAAGCCAAATACTCACTTATGGCTAAAATTCTCAACTATCTAGTTTAGTATTATACTGAAATTTAAGTCCTGAGTTTGGTGGTGGATTTTAATGTAGTTCCTAAAGATATGAAAATTCATGTTTTATAACTGTAGAGGCAAGTGAGTTTTTATTTTTTAAAAAAGTTGTAAGAGAATAATTGAAGTTTCTGTGCAGCAAAGTGGCTGATGACTCATTAAATATAAGAAGAGAATGTAGTACCTAAACCCAGACTTTTCTTACCTCTGATACACTTCAGATTACTTGCCTAATACCTAATATGTATTGAGGGGTTTTAACCCTTAGTTTTATCAATTTTTCTAGTTTTATTTTATTTTTATAAAATAATTGAAAAAGAACCAAAAATGAATTCAAAAGTCCCACTGTGGATCTTGCCCCTTCTTAATTTCCCCCTACAAAACATTTTAGAAGACATTTTGAATCAAAATGTATTACGTCCCTTTAAAGTTTACTATTTTCTAAGAAGTTGAGCAGCTAAAAGGGCATCATTTCAGGTGGTACTCTATGTATTGTCCATGGACTCGTTTATACCTGTACAGTGGATCTATGTGACAATGTCTTGTGCTTGCAATATAGAAACCATGCAGTGCTATTTGTAAATTGACAGTTCCTGTATAAACTATTATTTATATACATTGGCCTCCGTATAATTTTTCATTTGCTACATGGATTGTATAATTAATTATAAAGTTATAGTACCTGCTAATTCTAATTCTGAGGCTTCATGTCATTATCTTTAGTTTAATACCATTCTGTGTGTCTTGAGGATGTCTAGTGCTTGCATGATGTTAGGTGGTACTGCCACTTCAAGCCTTAATCCGATATTAAATTTGTGAGTTTCAGAGTATGCAAAAATATTAGGCAGAATGAGTTTAAACTGTGCAGATCGAGATGTATGTCATAATTCAACAAGTCTTTTCTCTGGAGTTAAAAAGGGAAGCATCTGGTAACCCTCTCCCCTCTCCTGCCCTCCCCTCCCCTTCAATCCCCTTCCTCCTCCTCTCCAGGTCTGACTTGGCTGTTGTCCTTGCTTAATGACAATGGATGGACCATTGTGCATTTCTGTGGCAGTCAGGCAGAAAGACCTATTCTGAAAGTCTAGAGACATTTTCAGGGTTATTTTTAAATGTTTGATTTTTTTTTTTTTTCCTCCATGTGAGATTTATTTATCTCCAGCAGGAGAGTATGATTTAGGCATAGATCTTACTCACAAACCTGCTCATGTTCTAAGTTTTCTTCAGGTAGTGCCACCTGTTATTGCTTCTGCATGTGATTAAAATGAATTTTTGTTTTTGTAAAAGCATCTTCAATTTAGAGGTAAGATGGAGGGGACCCAGCTTTCTTTACAATGTGGATCTACCTCAGTTAAACAGTTGGGTGCTATTTACTAAGTCTGTCAAACTAAATTGGAAAAAGTAACCAAACAGTGAGATGTAACTCCACATGAAACTTGAAATCATAGTTTCCGTTTATTTAATAATATTTTTATTTATTTTGTGCCTTTTATGTTGAACCCTAACACATCATAAAAATCAGTATAGAATTACACTTTTTATTGCAGGTGGGGAGAGGAGCCCAATTGGCCATGGAATTTGGTAGATTCCCAGCCAACTGCTGCGGTATATTGGAATCCCAATCCCAACTACCCTCTTGTGGAAAGGAAAAAATTATGTCCAAGAGCAAATTTAATATTTTACAAACAATAAATTCCAAACTCTTCTATGCATAATATGCATATATATATATATATATATATATATATATATATATATATATATATATAAAATCACTTTATTTTCTGTGCCAGTGAGGGCGGCCAAAAAAAAAAAAAAACAAGTAATTTTAGCATTGCTGTCTTAGCCATTCATGCCCCTCTTCCTCTGGCTTGTTTTTTAAGAGTTTCTTTCATAAGCAGCAGATGGACTGTTGTCAGTTTCACCTCTCCTGGCCTGCCCAGTGGAGGTGCTAATGACCATGGACAGAGAAAGGGCGAGCCTAAGTCTGTCTGCAGGGGTAACATCTGCCTTCTGCAGCAGCCCCAGGATTTCTAGAAGTTAGCAAAGCTTTCTGACGGGTAACAAAATAAGATAGGAGATGGATAACTTTCCATGCTTTTATATTTGGCAGTTTACAATTCTAGACTTTTCCTACTGTGGCAATCTTTTTAAACTTACTTCTTTGGAGGTAACAATATTTTGAAGTCTTAAGAATTTGATTTTATACCAATAAGAAATAAAAGTTAGGGATCTTTCCTATAGTATACAGTTTTACTATTTTAAGGAGATCTCTGAATTTTACAAGAGAACCAACATTCCTTGTGGCAAAACTTTGAAAGTTGATTTGGGAGGCTTTTTGCTGCAGTATCTCAAAAAAAAATATTCTAGTTAAATGTTTTTAATTTTTTAACTTCCATCAGGTTAATACTTAAGGTATATTTTATAAAGAGTAAATCATCCTTTAGTATGCTGCATATAAAGATCAGCATTGTTGCACTTTCTCAATAATAATAAATGCCCTATGATTGGCTCGCCAGGATGCATTTTGTTTTAACCTAACAAGAGTACTTGGGGGCAGGTAATTAAATTTATATAGGTACCTCAAGAAAAAGAACCTGCATATGCTGCATTTTGTTTCTTTAGCTTTTACATGTAGCATTTTGTTTTGCTTCTATTATTTTGTTTAGAGATATGCTTTTTTGGACCCCAATAGATTGTTGAAAGAAATATAAAGTTACTCTTGTAGAGGTATAGTATCCTTTATTTTGTTTTAAACTTATTGCAATATCTAGTTCAAAGGTTGCCCTACATTACTTTACCCAGATACACCTGAGGAAAAGGATACTATGTTTATAAGCAGATAGTAATGTTCCTAAGCCTTTCTGCTCATGCTGCTTTCTTGATTCCCTTTCCCATGTCATCTAGAGGTTGGATACCTTATTTCTAAGCTCAAAATTACAAATCATGGCATTCTAATTTTTCAACACAGACCTCACAAAATTGTCATTGAGTAGCATGACGCTAAAAGGTGCTGCTGACCAAAGCAGCCAATGAGTCTGGCCCCTGAAGAGCCAGTCTTCACATTTTGTTACTCCTCACACTCACCCCAGACTGAACAGGTGGGGAGTGGTCTGGATGGGTAAGATAAACTGGTGAAGAAAGCTAAATGCTGAGATACTGAGCATCTATCGTCGTGTTTAAGCTTAGCTGGGTCCTTTCAAGTTTGTTTTTACAGCTTACTAGGTTAAGTAGTTGCACTATTTTTGCAATAAATTCATGGAATACCTAACAGTTACTGTTTTGTTTCTTACTGTGTGTATATAAACTAATACTAAAGTTTGGCATAGTGTTTTTTCACCTCCTTACATAACCCCTAACATGCACAGAATGCTGTAAATCTGATAAAATATGATGTGAATGATATTTTATAAAGTTATTTTGTATAGTGTCAATTTTGTTTTGCCTCATAGTATGTCAGCAAAAAATAAAATAAAATTCCTCATATTTACAGCTTCCTCTTCCAAAGATCTCCAGTTACTCACATGTCTATTTGGGCACTGTTACGTGCAGAGATTCTGAGGTTGGTTTCCATACCTTCAGGGATGGAGCTCATAGCCTTCTTCAGGCTTGAAGGAGGCATTCAGCAGGGTAAGCACTGCTTCAGGACCCGGAGCTCAGGGATGAGCTGGACAGGAGGGAGAACCAAGGTAGCATGTGGGTGAGTTGATTATTCCCACACCCACATCTACGAAGAATAAATTGAAAAGCTGCCCTCCTGCATCTGTCATGGTAAGGCCTTGAGCTCTGTGTTGTGTGGGAACCCAAGCCTGCCACATCCTGGTTCTTAGCCTGGCTGGTGTCTTAGCTTCTTTAGCCTGGCTCAGTTGATACAGTGAAATATGGTACAGTGTGCTGCTCTGAAATCCCTGAATGGTCTCACTCTGGGCTGTTTTTGACTTCTGCTATACTCAAAAGAATGGGTGGTATTAGGAAAGGAAAGAAGGTTAGATTAAGAAACTCAAAAATAGCTGCGTGTGGTAGCACACGTCTGTAATCCCAGCTATTTAGGATGCTGCGGCAAGAGGACTGCGAGTTGAAAACTAGGCTAGGCAACTCAGCAAGACCATCTCAGAAAGAAAGAAAAAACAATTCTGGGGATATACCTCAGTGGTAGAGTCCCTGTTGGTTTGATTCCTAATACTGGGAGGTGGGAGCAGCTAAAAATCCTTAGGATATTTATTGTTGCTAAAGCAAGCTCGATTTGTCATTTAAGTTATCTATAATCACCAACATTAGTTGGGAATTACTCAACACTTTGATCTGTTGTTCCATAGCCCTTTAAAAAAAAAACAAAAAGACATCAAGATGTAGTTATTTCATGCTTGCTTTGGCCTGCACATATACTAAGATGTAATTATTTCTTAATGTATCTAGACTCTTACACTACTTAGTATCCAAAAGTAGGAACCCCCTTTGTGCCCACTGGCCCTGTGATATGCCAGTCAAAATCATAAGACTCAGAAGCTGGTACACAGCTGTAATCCCAGCACTTGGGAAGCTGAGACAGGAGGATTGTAAGTTGGAGCCCAACACAACTTAGCAAGATCTTGTCTCTAAAAAAGGCCCAAGGAAGTGGCTCAGTGCTTGTGCCTGTGGGTCTGACCCCACGCATGAGGCTGTGGGTTCAGTTCCCAGCACAGCATACATATACACACAGAGATCTGTAATGATATATTTACTATGGCCTGGCCTTGTTATTTTCCTATTTGCTGTCATTTACTGAATGGCTAGAAACAGTCACGGTTTGAATGGAGAGACCTAAAAGTAAAAGCAATGCATGACAGTAACTGTTACATGAATTAAGAAAGGATTCCAGAGGGCAGCTCCCTGATAGGGTGGTGTGATGAATATTTAGGTTTTCATAGAGGATACAGGAGCCTGGCAGCACGTGAAGGTTGACGCAGGAGAGTACTGGAACACAGAGTGAGATCAGTATCAAGGACCTTGAATACCAACCTGGGAATCTACCCAACAGTGTGTAAACACTACTGTTTCAGCTCCATGGTCCACTTAAGGGTCTAGTCAGAGATCTCAGGCCCATTTCCACCATTTTCTAGGTGTGTCTTAAAACCTGATCTTCCCATTCCCTTCCTGGTAAAAGATGACTTTTAGTGTGTAAGTTGTGAGGATTCAGTATGCACAGCACACATAGAAAGGCTCAGCCTTCAGTGGCTTATGCAAATATCAGCTATTTTTAACACTCAGAAGGATGTTAATCTTCATGAAATCATTTTGCTAATCAAATAGCAGCATGTGAGATGGAAGGAGTACAGAGGCTAGAGAGATGGTAAGGAAACAGTCAAAAGTTACTATGACTAAGCACATGTTCTAGCAGGAACCAAAGAGGTACTCCCCTAAATAACTGGACCTGAAGTGCATGTGGTGGGTTAAGGATGCTTAAGTTGGTCATACCCAGAAGCAGCATCTGTCCTGCCAAGAGACAGACTGACAGAAAAAGATTTGTGACCAGGTCTAGCAATGCATTTTAGCCAGGACACCAAAGGCATGATCCGATTATAAGAGAAAAAAACTAATCAACAGGGCTTCTCAAAAGTAAGAACTCTGAACAAAGCAGTTAAGAGAATGACAAGGGGCTTTCAGGTCTGATGCCCCCTACCACCCCCTGGAGTTGACTATCCTTTCTTTTCCATCTTTTTTCCAAATAAAAATTTTTTTAAAAGAGTATGATCAGATGAGCCACAGGCTGGGAAAAAATGTTTGCAAATCGTTTCTCCAACAATAGGTGTGTATTAGGAATATATAAAACTCAAAACTCGCACTAAGTTTTGTGGAGAATTACAACACAACTGGAACACACTTGTTGCTGGCTGGAGTGAAAAATGGCACAGCCACTCTTGGAACTAGATTTGTAGCTGTTTGTAAATTTGTACAGCTTCCACTCATAAGTTTGTGCCAAGTGAAATGAAACCCTGTTTACCCAAAACCTATACAGTGTGTATACAGCTGACTATAACCATTAAAACTGGATGTAATCTAAACAGAGCACTGTGTATGTACCTGGAGAATGGGTAACTGGTACATCCATAGGGTGGGATCCTACTCAGCAATAAAATGACTGTTGACACCTGCAACTACATTCCAAACACTTTCTAAAAATTCCAAACACTACTAAATAAAATGCCAGGCACATGCTATATACTATGTGACTCCACTTATAAGACAGAAAAGATGTGTCAACAAGCTAGGACTTATGGGCCAAATTCAGTCTTGTTTTATACAGCGTAAAAGGTAAGAGGTGTTTATATTCTTAAATGAGTTGACATGTGCAAATTAGATAAAATTCAAATTTCAGTGTCCAGAAATAAAAGTTTTACTAGTTCAACTAAAATACAACCATGTTCTGTCTTTTTTTTTTTTTTCAGATAGGGTTTCACTGTGTAATTGAGGAACTCAGTATGTAGCCCAGGCTGGCCTGGGACTTCACAGCAATCCTGCCTTCACCTCTCAAGTGTTATGATTACAGATACATACACCACAACATCCAGCTTTCTTTAAATATTACCTATGACTGCTTTTTGTACTACCACAGCAAACAGGTGGCAACAGAGACTACAAAAAAACTATAAAGTATTTACATATGGCCCCTTCCAGAAAGTTTGCTGACTTTGATACTGTGATAGAACAGCACTGGTTGCCAGCATAAAAGATGGAGTTAATCAGCAGAGAATGTTTTAGAGGATGATAGAACTGTTTTGTCATAATTATAGTGATTATATGACTGCATTTGTCAAAACAACTACACATCAAGTCAATTTTTAAATATTTTATTAAAAAAAATTTTGAGGCTGGGGATATAGCTCTGCGGCCCAAGTGCCTACACAAGGTCCTGAGTTTGATTTCTAGTACCCCCACCCCACCAAGAAAAAAAAATTTTTAAAGACAAGAGATACAAAAAATATAAGTGGTTACCAGGAACTGGGGGAAGAGACTAACTACAGTTAGCACAAGGGAGTATTCTGGGTGTTCTGTGTACTAACTGGTGCATTTGTATGATGGGAGGGACCTGTAATCCCAGTTACTCAAGAATCTGCTGCAGATGGGGGTTGGGGATTTAGCTCAGTGGCACAGTGCCTGCCTGGCAAGCGCAAGGTCGTGAGTTTGATTCCCGGTACCGGGAAAAAAAAAAACAAAACAGGAAGATTACAAGTTTGAGGCCAACCTGAGCAACAAAGTTAGACTAGCTAGAAAATGTAAAACTGAGCATTTGTCAAAATTCAGCCTTGAGACCAAAAAGTGTTATTTTACTGATAAAAATTGTAACCTTTTTGTTTTGAGACAGGGTCTCACTATGTACTTCAGGCTCGTCTTAAACTCTTGGCAATCCTCCTGCCTCAGCCTCCCAAGTGGTGGGATTATAGGCATGTGCCATTATACCTAGCTAACTTTTTAAGAATAAACTTTTAAAAATAAAGACAGGTATACTGAAAAGATGGAATCAAATATCTGCCCCATGCAGAAAAAAATATAATAAAGCTTAACAGTTTTTTTCTCATAAACAGTAAAAACAACTACTAGGGGTTTAAAGCAAAGAACAGAAAGATGAAAAGTATCTTCAACATACAAAACATTTTTTAAGAACAATGTGTTTATGCAGAGGTAATTTTTTTTTGTGGTGGTGATACTGCAGATGGAACCCTGGGTCTTTATGCTGAACAATACACAGATCTTTTCTAAACTTTTTTTTTGAGGCAGTCTCACTAAATTGTCTAGATGGGATTCAGACTCACAATTACCTTAGCCTCTCATAGTGCTGGGATTACATGTGTGCACCACTGCACCCAGCTGGTAAAATAGTTCTTTTTTGTATTTTATTTGATAATCAGACTTGCAATTTTTTTCTGGGAATAAAAGTGGTTTCTGTTGTTGCTGTTTTGGTGCTAGGGACCAACCCCAGGGCCTTGTGTTTGCTAAGAACACACTACCACTGAGCTATATTCCCACCCAGAAATGCCTATTTTTAAGTTTCACTAAATTCTCAGGCATGAGCAACGCACTAGAATAGAGGGCCCTAAAATTAGTTGCATGAAGCATTTTATTGTGAAAAGGAAAGCATATGTCTTTACAAGAAAAATTTTTTAATTATTTAAATACAAAAATTCAAAGGTAACATGCTACTTATAAACTACATACTTAGCTAAAACTAAATATAGCTGTTTACAAGAAATAATTTCAGAATATACATATAAATTTGCACAATATTCAGAAGCTCTTCCAAGTCAGTCTGCAAGTTCCAAAGGGAAGCACAGTGGTCTCTGCCTGTCCAGCTTGGAGCCCAGATTAGCTGCAATGCCGTGGGTACAGGATTCTCTCCTGATGACCTCCAGCTGCAGGTGGGCTTTGTCAAAGGATGCTGCTGGTGTCACTCTCCCTGCAGTTTGTCACAGTGCAGACGCAGGAGATGCCTGTCTCTGCCAAGAAAGCAGGCAGTGTGCTACAGCTGCTGGGAAAGTGAAGGCAGGAAAGCACACAGCGCTGTGCTTGCTTCAGATGAATGGTGCTTCTCCAGAAATGTCCTCGAAGGCTGATTTCTTTTGTGGTTTAGGACTCAGCTTCGTCATCACCACTTTCATCACCAGCATTCGCCTCATCATCTTTCCTCTTCTCCTTAAGCATTTTCAGGTACTTACTAGCTAAAATCTTCTTTGGTAATATATCTTAAAATCATAAGGCTTACATCAGCAATTCATTATGATAAACTATGAATACAGCAGTACAAATTTCAAAAAGTACCAATTCCTATTTTGACCTCTTAAAACAAGTTCCAAAAGACAGTAAAATTCAGGCTACGCTTCTGGGTGAAATAGGGTAACTAGGATTGTCTCCTCACTAACGTTATAGACCTGCTCCCATTCAACTAAGGGCAAACTATTGTTGGCTGGTTGGTTCATTCATTTATTTATTAGTTTTTTTGAGACAGGATCTTGCTATTTAGCCCAGGGTGGCCTTAAACTTGTGGTGATCCGCCTGCCTCAGCCTCCCAAGTGCTGGGATTATAGGCATGTACCATTACCCCTGGCTCTAAACCACAGTGCTTTGATGCACTAGTTTTGTGAGCAATGCCGCTTAACCCGAGATAGGCCAAGCTGGTCCCAGGAGTAGACTTGAGCTCTCTTTAGCCTGTGGACCTGTTCCAAGGAGCTTCCCTTCTACAGTTGGGCCCTGCAAACCAAATGTCTTGTGTATCCTATTGACTTCATTACTGTTCTAAGTGGACCACATTACCACCATATTCAGAAAAGACTAGAAATACCTCCCTGTGCCATATCGTGGTAAACTGGCACCTGAAGAAAAAAGCCAAATGTCTAATTCAGTGAAAGCAAAATCGGGGGGATAATCCTCAAATTACCAGACTTTATTTTTTTTGAGACAAGGTGTTGCTGTATAGTTCAGGCTGGCCTTGAGTTCACTATGGAGCCCAGGCTGGCTTTGAAGTCTCAGCAATCCTCCTATCTCAGCCTCCTGAGTGCTGGGATTACAGGCGTGTGCCACCATGCCTAATGGCCAGGCATCTTTAAAGCAGAATGTTTCAAAGATTAAGTACCTGCAAGAAACTGAAAAGTTTCTGATTCCTCTGCAGTATTTGCTAAATCACTGTAAGTCAATGCTTTCCTTTCTTTTCCACTGCCATGTCTGTAGGAATAGGTGGCTAGATACTGAACAAAGAGCTCCTAAAATAAAATGAAAAAGTAACATGAAAGGAATGCTTTGAAAACTCACCAGAGATCTAATTTTTCAAATTACATTAAAAGTGTACATTAAATTCCTCAAATTAAATTACAGAAAATGACAGGAGAAAGAAACATGAGGTCAGAAAGAAAGCAAGTCTGTGTCCCATCTGGAGGGGAGATGGGCATTTTCCAGAGCCTAGTTTAGATGTGTAACTTCTGAAAAGTATTTACAGGTGACCAAAAACCATGAATTGTAACAATGAAACAACCTCTAAGGTAAAAGTAAGGAGCAAAAGACCAAAAATTCTATCTGGGGGCCAGGGATTTAGCTCAGTGGCAGACTGCTTGCCTAGCTTGAGGGAGGCCCTGGGTTTGATCCCAGCATTAGAAAAAAAATATTCTATCTGGCTCAGGAACACATTTTTAATCTCCTATTTGAATCCTTCGTTTGAAGATAGTTCACCTATTATAACTACAGTAGAATCAACAACCTGAAGCTGAAAATTGACATACTTTGCCCAAACAAAAAGCATCTTCCTAGCTGGTGACAGACGTCCACAGTATGATCAAAAAATATGAACAGTTAACTTTTTAAAAATGTATTACAGTAAAGGACACATTGCCATTAGGCTCTCTCAAAATACTCTCCCTCATTTTGAACACTTAACCCATTGTTCTCACCACTCCGTGAAGTAGTTCTGGAATTAAACTTTTTAAAACATCTACCACGTATTTTTATTGCCCCTTATAAATTCTCAGATTATCCCAAAGCAACAACTTAAACTGAGCCTCCTCCTTTTTAATCCATATAGTTTCGTGAGGAATGAGAAAAATTCCTGTTAACCCTTAATTCCTTAATACTAACAATGAAATTGTAGGGGAAAACACCTATGATCGAAGATCACACTGGAAATATACAATTACTGTACAAGGCCACCTTGTAGAGATGAGGTATACCAGTGGATGTCAGTAGGTTACACATAAATACAATTTTATTAAATAAGGGATTTAGCATCCAAAATTTTTGTATAAGTGGGGGTGCTGCGATCAAGCTTGTAAGGCCTCTTAGATTTTCCCAGGCGTTAAAAGGAAGCATGGCTCTGGCACAAGACAACGAAACTCGAAGTTTTGTGGCTAAAATTTCCTTTAGCCACAGCCCAACCATGAATTAGTAGTATGGCCTGTAAAACAGAATCTAGAGAAAGCTAAAGCAGTTAACTGTACAGCTTAAACATGGCCAAGTCTCAGAACAAGAAGGCTACTGGTCTACTACTATCAAGTCTAAATTTAAAAAGATAAAAGGAAGCCAGGGCGGTCACGCAACCTGTAATTGCAGGTGCTTTGGAGACAGGTATCTCCTCCCCCGCTCCCCCCCAAAAAAAAGAAAAAAGAAAGAAAAAGCAAACGTACAGAAGAAAATATAAATATTTTGCCCCAGGAGAGGGGCAGGTAGAGTAAAAATCAGCTCTCTGGAGTCTGCAATTCTGGCTAGAGGTTGGGTTGTTCCCGACTCGAGGTGAGCAAGTCTGGTGGGCGGAGAATGGGAGGGCCCGGCACCTTCCAGGCCGCTTCCGCATCTGCGGGAAGAAAGCCCCAGGTTGCGACGCAGGCGCGCGGGGCGGGGAGGTGGGGCGCTCCCATACCACGCTGGCAAGAAGTTAAAAAAGGGAAATCTTCGCAGCTATGAGTACTGTGACACCAGGAACACGCGCACTACCCAGCTCGAGCCACGAGACCCAGCCAGAGCTACACTAACGGGCGCGCTAAGGGGAAGCGGAGAACGCGCGAGCAACGAGGCTGGGCGAGGCCAAGGGAGCACCGCGGGGGACGGCGGGAGCGGCGCGAATGGGCGTGCCGAGGGGCAGTCGAGGGGGACGACGGGAGCGGCGTGGAGGGTGCGCGCGGGGCGGGAAGGAGGCGCGCGCGACCACGGCCCGGACAGTCAGGGCCAAAGAGGACAGGACGGTGCCTCGCAGCCTGGTATGGCGGTTAGGAACGCCCACGCCCTCCCCAGCTTCGCTCCTCCCGGCCTGCGGGCCGCCTCACCGTGGCCTTGGCCGTGAGCACCAGCGCCTCTTGGTTGATGCTGGACACTTCGGGGGAACTCTTCATGATGACCCGGATACGGGACAGGGGCAGCGACACGAGCCGCTGCTCGCCGCATTTGTCCTTGCCCACGGCTACGTCCGCCATCTTCTAGCTCCAGCGCGACCTGGCGGCCGGCCGGCAAGCGGGCGAGCGCCCCGCAGCCCCTTGGGAGTCGTAGTCCGGAAGGGAGCTACCCATGATGCCCCTCGTGCCGCGCACGCGCAGATGCAGTTTACCGCTTACCTCTTACCCAGAGCATCGTGGGAAACTGCTGGCTAGTTTCAGGAGGTGGTTCTAGCTTCCCTGCGAGTGTGTACTAATTTTCTGCTGTGTGGTGGGGTTGGCATGGGACAGCGAAGAGAAGAAACGCTTTACAACCGGACGCTGAGGCGGGAGGTAACTTATACCTAAAAGTTAGGGCCGGCGGGGACAACAGCAACAGCTGTACCCCCTTAAAAAAAAAAGGCTCACATTGTATAGGGCAAGACAGAAGCAAGCAAATGTATGCCACACTGGTAATGAGATGTACCATGAAGGAAAATAAAGTGCTGTAGAAAGATAAGAGGAACCAGGGAGTATTTCTTAAAAGTGATAGAGATTAGAGGACACACCCTCTCGGAATGAACCACTTAGAGGAGCTCTGGAGGCACTGGGGTCCCCGTGCGTGAAAAGGATTCTGGGAGGTTGTCAGGAGCTGTGTCCTGTTAGATTATATTCTAAGAAAAATGGCATATTGTTGAAAAACTGATAGGCTATGTCTTTAAGATAAAAAAAATCACTCTAGCTGCTGTTTATGAGTGGGATGGGCAGCAGCAATTGCTGATCAGGAGGCCAGTGTGGCTAAAATGAAAGGACTAAGAAAAAAATGGCAGGAAGTAGTGGGGTGTCAGAAGAGGTAGCCCTCCAAGACCTAGAATTCTTTCCAAATAAGGAGTCCCTTGGAAGAGTAAGGTGGTCCGCCTTAACTTTTACAAGAATCATGAAAAGTGGTTGCATTTGAGATATAATTTAAAGTCAAGGGAGCTAGGGGTATAGTTCAGCGGCACAAGCGCCTGCCTGGCAAGTGCAAGGTCCTGAGTTCGATTCCCTGTACCAAAAAAAAAAAAAAGTCAAAGTATTATAGACAACTAAGTGAGAAATTAATAAGCTGTCAGAGAGTTGGAGGCAAATCTGAAGAGCACCAGACCTCAAGATCCAGATGAAATAGCCGGGATTGCAAGCCTGCCTAAAAAATAAACAGCAGCTTGAGGTGACCCTATAGTGTAATTAGCACCACCTGGTCCAGGGAGCCTATATAGACATCAAACATATAGCTGGGTGACTAGAATATATACTGCCATACCTTTAGATATTAGAGGTAAGCTAAAGTGATGAATGATGCTCACTATATACCCTTGGTACGTGCCTTACTTGCCTTTTGGGTCAGTGTTAATTAAGCAACTATACTTGTACTTGCATAGGTTGATTGCAGTCTGACCTGTGTTGTACTGAGTTGTGATCTTGCTGTAGAAAGTGCCCTTGACAAAGAGCCTCAGTGGCCATCTACTAGAAACCCTGGAAATTCAGGAGCTATTCCTCCATCCAATAAAACTCTCCAAACCTACTTTGATTCCTGACTTCATTCCTCATAACAGGTTGGTAGTTATTTTCCAAGTGAAAGGAACTTACTAATATGATATGGAATATGCATGAAAGGAAGATAGTTCCATTTAATAAGATAGGGGGTCCTGTGGGAGGAGCAAATTTGGCAGAGGTCTGGGTTGAATTTAAGTTTCAGTGTCATCATTTGGGTTCTGGCCCACATAAATAAGCACAAAATACAGTTGTCTGTCTTTATCCTTGGGGGATACAGAAGCCTGTAGAAGCTTAAGTCCTTTCTATAAAATATACCCTAGGCAATGGACAGTCTCCCTTATACAGTACTTTAAATCATCTCTAAGAGTATTTTCAATACTAAACACATTATAAATACTATAGGAATGGTTTTTAATACTGCATTATTTGGGGAATAATGACAGTACTGTACATAGTTTGTACAAGTGAATTTCCTGAGTAGTTTTCATCCAAAGTCAGTTGAATCTATACATGTGAAACCTACGGGTACCGAGGGATAACGTGAGGCACTACTAGGCACAAAGGTACAGCCAGTGACTAAGGCAGCTACAGTCCCTGCTTTCACAGAGCTTCCTTTCATGTCTGAGGCAGACCAAGAAACAAAAATATCTCCAGTGCTAAGTGCTGTGAGTAAAGCAAAGCCAAGTGAGCATGACAGGATGGCCTCTGAGAAATGGCATTTGTGCTCAGAACTAAAGGAGTCATTGATGCAGAAAGGTTGGAATGAGATGGGCATCTAAACAAGGCAGCCCGTGGGAAGGACACCCAAGGAGGAAGATGCCTTGGCGGTTTGAGGAGCTGAAAGACCAGGGTGGCTGGAGCTTAATGAGTGACACAGAGAGCCCAGGATATGAGGTTATTGTGTAGGTGGTGTCTTAGTTACTTTTGTCATGGCTGAGAGAAAAATACTGGCAGAAAGGTAATAGCAGCAGCCCTCTTTCTGTCCCTTATTCAGGCTGCATGACCTTAGGGCGGGTATCACACCCACACTGAGCCTTTCTATTATCCACACCGAGCACTATGCCAACCCAATCAGTGGACTGATTTAGTAGTCGTAAGTCCATGATCCCAGCATCACACCCTCTAGATGCAGCCACCTTTGAAAAACCCCACCTATGACCACATGGGGCTTTGGGGGGACATCTAGACACAACCCATAACACCAGCCATTGGCTGGAATGTCCACTGAAGGAAAGATCGCCACAGTGAGTATCACAGCGGTAATGATGACTGCAAGGCTTGGGTGAGCTAGCTTCTGATTGCAATAGAGAGGTTTCATAAAGTCAGAGCTCAAGCTTTAAACTGTTGGGTCATCTTTTAGGGAACCAGTTTCTTTGATGCCTAAAGAGATTCCTGTAATTCACATAGTCTCCAGGCTGATGGAGCTGAAGATCACACTTACCTTTGTTCCCACCTAATGCATAATTGCAACATAAAATGAGTTCACAGCTGCAATCATATGTGAAGTTAGTCCATGGACTGGGAAGAGTGGGGCCTTGAAAATGGAGATGGGCAGTGTTGGGAGTGCATCCAAGCACCTTTAGCCACCAACCCTTTGGAGCCTCCTCATTAGTGGACATGGCTGTCAGTCTCCTGCTTGTCTGAGATGGGCCTTTCTTGTTTGAAGTTCTCTTACCTCACTGGCAGTGACCACATGACTAGGGAACGCCATCTTCTCAAAGGCTACCCCTCATTAACTCCCATTATTGAGTAAGGTCCCAATATGTCCCAGGAAATAACTACAAAGCCTGTTTATGCACTGAAAGAACTGTGAGAGTAACCCATTTTCATCAACAGGAACCTGGGAAGTGTATGCAAAATAGATGCTAATGGATTGAATCTGGACTGTAATGTTGGACCAGGGTGAAGTTACTGGCGTAGCAAACTTATAAGAAATTTTTGATTCAGTGTGTTATTTCTAGCAGCTGGGGGTGGCTCAGTTTGTTCAGCGAACTGGTAGACAGCTCTGGACTCAAGTGTCCCACACTAGTGGCTTTCTTTGACTTTTACAGATAATACAGACCACATTGGAGTATGCTGCTCTGACTTGTTTCCCAGGAAACACCACAGGTCCTGTGCTGTTCAGTGTTCATGGCAGATAGCACCCTTCTAAATTCTGGCAGGTCCCAATTTGAGAGTCACAGCAGACTCTCAGAGATTTGAAGCACAAATACGCCCTTTTCTGCAAGAACTGTTCGACAGCTTTCGGTGTTCAGCTAGGAGGAGGCTAAGGTGCAACTTTCTTCAGTTTTCCTGAGTCCTGGTTGATCCAACACCAGCTGCCTCCACTATGCCACGCAAGTTTCACCCCCAACAAGATCAAAGTCATGTACCTGAGGAGTCATGCACTGCTGGAGAAGTTGGTGCGACGTCTGCCCTGGTCCCCAAGATCAGTCCCCTGGGCCTGGCTCCAGATAAACTGGGTGATGACATTGCTACGGCAACTGGTGACTGGAAGGGTCTGAGGATTACAGTGAAACCGACCGGTCAGAACAGACAGGCTCAGCATGAGGTGGTGCCTTCTGCCTTTGCCCTGATCATCAAAGCCTTCAAGGAGCCACCAAGCGATAGAAGCAGAAAAAAAAATTAAACACAGTGTAATCATCACTTTTGATGAGATTGTCAACATTGCCCGACAGATGTGGCATGGGTCTTTAGCCAGAGAACTTTGCAGAACCATTAAAGAGGTGCTGGGGACCGCCCAGTCTGTGGGCTACAATGTGGACAGCTGGCACCCTCATGACATCATAGATGACATCAACAACAGTGCTGTGGAATGTCCAGCTAGCTAAGAAGCATGAGAAAATATTTCAGTAAAAAGATGACCTGACCAAAAAAGGGACTATTTTCCATTTGAGCAACAGCTTCAGTTTGCTTCTGGGTGCTGGTAGAGCCTAAAAGCCACACAATACAATCTCAGTTGAGTGTGTGACCCTCGCTGGGTGGTGTAATCTACCGAGCTGTACACCTCACCCTGTCCTCAGAGGGAAGCACTTCCCTGAGCAAATCCCAGGAGTGACAGTTGCTGAGTAGGTGAATCAGACTCCCATAGCACCTCTTTCCACTCCATCCTTCCTCACCCTGTCTCCTGAATTATGGCTTCATAGGGGAATTCTCTGTGGGCGGAATAGTGAGAAAGAAAAACACAGACCTGATTTACGGGTTGCTTTGTAAATACACTGAGACCAGCCAGGAGGAGAATACTGTACCTGACAGTCACCCCAGAGGATGAGAGTGAAGGCAGAGACGCAGGGCGGCCATCCAGCAGGCACTTATCTGGGAGGACGGACAGTTCAGGGACAGTAGTTAACAGGTGACTGAATGCCTATGAGAGTGAGAACAAGATCAAGAAAACAGGTCTGGGGAGGGGGATGTGGAGGAACCTGTTAGAAAGGGGAGAGGAGGGAAATTTGCATTCCATGCAGGCACTCGCCAAAGGGCACATTCCACAAGGAGGCCTTTAACAAAGTGGCTGTGGCTATGAGTCACTCTTTCTGGCCACTTCCAGGGACCAAGCTTGTTCCCATCTGTACAAAGTGGCTGTGTGTCTGGAGCTGTAGGAGGCAGATCTGGAATTGATCCAGCAAAGACTCTGTATATTTTGTTTAGTTTTTGTTTTTGTGCTGTGTTGGGGATTAAATGTATGCATGTCCTGTGTGCATACTAGGGAAACACTATTGCTGAGCTGTGCTCCAGGTGGTGGGATTCTGTATCTTTCTTTTTTTTGGTACAGGGCATTGAACTCACAACCTCATGCTTGCCAGGCAGGCGCTGTGCCACTGAGCTATATCCCTGGCCCCAATTTTTTTTTTTTGTACTGAGACTCAAACTCTGCCTCGGCTTGCCAGGCAAGCACGGTACCGCTGAGCTACATCCCTGGGATTCTGTATCGTGTTTTCTGTTTTGTGTTCTTGACCCTTTGGTTTTTGGCCTCATGTTGTTTATTGCCTCATGGTTCAGAAATGGCTGCTGCTAGTCTATACTTCATGACTGCATTAGGTAGGAACAGGGAAAGGGCAGTAGGCAAAAGACTCATTCTTGATTAGGCTGCAAGACTTTGTCTTTTAATGAGGAAGAGAAGATCTCCTTAGCAGTCTGCCCCTTATCCCATTTGTTGGAATTGGGCAATAAGCTCACCTAGAGACAAGTTACTGGCCAAAGGAAATGAGACTGCTAGGACTGGTTTATATCAATGAGATTCATCCCCTGGGGTTGTCTTCATGAGGTCAGAGGATATCTGATTCCCACAGATATAAAAGGAGTGGGAGGAGGTTTATGGCAAGGAATATTAGGCAATAGCTAGTTAACCTGCTAAAGTTGGCAGCATTTACAATTTCGGAGGTTCACTCACAAATCTAAACTGAGGTGAAGGGGAGGAGGCCAGCAGTGTTTGCCCGCCAGCACTGTCCAGGAGTTCCTACGAGTTCTTGCATGGAAAGCCCAGGCATGGAGCTCAGAGGTTCCCTTCTCCAAGGAGAGAAGATAGCTGGGATTGAGACGGCTCAGGAAGAATGACTTTTAAGAGCTGAGGCCATAACTCATTATGTATTACATGGCTAGCAGCGCTTACTAAGTATTGAATAATAATAAAATGATAATTTAGCTCCTAGAATGTAAGTGTACAAATTGTGAAAATGGGATTATACCAGGTTGTCATTACATATAATGGCCTAAATATAGGGATAATGAGGGGCAAACCAGTCTACCCTTCTCATGGCTACTGATAGGCAGGCCCTTAGACAACTGTATGGGGGCTGGGAGGGGCCCAAGGTGGGAGTAGAAGGGACAGTTTGGGCGTCTGGACCAAGAGAAGAGCTTGGTGGGAGCCAGAATTTGCAGAGCTGTGTGGTCCAGGAAGGTGGAGAGGGAAGTTGTGGGAGAGATTTCAGCACTAGAGTACTGAGAGTTACTATATGATTTGTAAATATTTTTATTTTGGTAAAATGTACAAAAGGTACCATTTTAACATTATTTTTCCTTTTTTTGAACTGGAGTCTAGGGCCTTATGCTAA